CGCGCAAATATCACTCACATGCCTTCTGAAACGACTTCACCTGGCAAAATGCAAATTTCATGCCAGCCCTGCCCCCCCCCCGGCTCTGTCAAAACATGCCAGGCAGACCTTGCCATTGATGCTACCACAATAGTTATACTACCGCAAATCATGCTACCACAATTAGCGCTACCACAATTGTTACTACCACAATTGACAAGTTGATGCTACCAGAACTGATGCTACCAGAATTGATGCCACTGCAAAATCGAATCAACCAAGCCAAGCAATGCCATGCTGACTACCACAGTTGCTGCTACCAGAACTGATGGTATCAGAATTGATGCCACCGCAAAATCGAATCAGATGCCACCGCAACAATCGAAGCAATCAAGCCATGCAATGCCATGCTGACTACCACCATTGACATTGATTGATGCTACCAGAATTGATGCCACTGCAGCATCGAATCAACCAAGCCAAGCAATGCCATGCTGACTACCACAATTGATTGATGCTACCAGAATTGATGCCACTGCAGAATCGAATCAACCAAGCCAAGCAATGCCATGCCGACACAGTAACGGCCTCCCCAGCGTCTTTGCAAACACGAGTGTGCTCTGACAGTCATGCGGACTGGAGACTTCTTTAAATGCCACCCCCATTCGGCCAAGATGGGGTCACCCTGCTGAGTATGCGCCGTCTTTGCCCTATGCGGAGCGCTGAAATCCGATTGCCTTGCATACCGGCCCGCAAGAGGACAGGTCATGCTCGTCATCGAGTGCACCGGAATCGCTGCGCAACGCGCCGGTTACTGAAGACCTGTCAATGAGGCACAGCATAAGATGCCATGCGGGGCCATGCCGGCAAGCAGCAGTGATCGAAGTTAATACTTCGACCGTGGTGTGGGTACGTGGCATAGTATTTATTAATAGTAGCGAGGCCTTCCCTGCAATCTGTGTGCATTTCACCCCGCGGCGGACACACCACCTGGCTGGACAGGCGAGCAGCACACAGAGTAAATCCCCAGCGCCCGGCCAGCGACGCTGTCCCACACGGATCAAGGACCCATTGCTCACGTGGTCCGAGCCCGACTGGAGCGGTCTCTAAGACCACTCTGAGCTGGGGCGTGCAGGATGGGTAGGGCGAGTCGCAAGCCAAGCAAGCCAAGCAAGCCAAGCAAGCCAACCAAGCAACCAAGCCAACCAAGCAGTGGCACGTGACAAAGGACCACGTTTCAGCTTCCAACACATCCGGCTTGGACAGAAGCGAACACCATCGCTCAATACATCCGGCTTGGACAAATGCAAAAATGTTTGGCAAAAAAGGGTTTCCTCACGCTGGCTTCCCAGTGTGCTTTAAAATGTTTTGGTCAACGGCCGTGCCCCCGGCACTGAAATTCCTAATAAAATACATAAATAAGCTAATACTACAACAGCTTGAAACCTTAAATCGGTATATTGAACTGCACTATTGAGGAAATTGGTTTTGGCCTTCAAACCCCCCTGATCCAGCCCCCAAGGATCCAACCCTCAAAACGAGTGTGTGGAATAAGTAAGCAAGTCAAGTAAGTATAAGTAAGTATAGAGATAGCATAACATAGAGTCCAGTGTCAAGTGTCAAGTAAGTTAATAAGTAGATTGAAGTAAGTAAGTAAGTAAGTAAGTAAGTAAGTCGTATATCAAGTGTAGAGTCAAGTATCATAGAGTCAAGTGTCAAGTGTAGAGAGTCAGTCATAGGGGTCAAGTAAGTAAGTAAGTATCAAGTGTAGAGTCAAGTATCAAGTGTAGAGTGTAGAGTAAGGAGTCAAGTAAGTTGATTCTATGTCTGTCATCTATGCACTCAGCTGCGGCGTTCCACACGGAAGAACCCTTCGCGATGCTTTCGGGAATAAATCACAGATTCAAAAACCAACGACATGGTTGATCACAGATTTGTGACAGATTGAAAACACAAAAAAATGACAGATTAAATCCCAGAATAAATAATTATCCGAAGCCAACGAATACCACGGAATCAGGGTTATAACGGTAGTTTATATGTTGGAGAAGCTGAAATGCTGGAGGGCGTGGTATTTTTGTTCAGGTAGTACTAAAAAACCTCCCGATTCTGATGCGGCCTAATAGCTCTAGCACTTGATTTATGAGTTACGAAACACAAAGAGCTCCTTTCATGTCCTGTCCGTTATACATGGAGGAAGTCGAATATACGGGCGCGTTTATTTTTGAAGCAATACTCCAATAGTTGTTCTTTGCCTCATAAAAAATGGGAAAGCTCCGCTGGAGTTGGAAAGTTCATGTGTATATGCGGGCGCACAAGAAGGCTCGTCTGCAGCAAGAAGTAAGAGAGCTCTTGCAACCTTCCAAACATGAAGCAGGACTAATTACGACTGGCTGCATTGATACGTATCAATCACAAGGCAGGGGCTCCTTAACTTTGTAAAACAAAGTAAAATGGCACTTCATGGAAGAAAACTCCTCTTTATGTTGTGAGTCGATAAAGGCAGCCATGTGCATTTGCAATCGCTATCTATTTTTGAGGGTACTGATTTGGGCCATGAGTTTTCATTCGGTTAACTCTTATTGATGCTGTCCTATACCCCGGAGAAGATGCCGATCGCTATGTCCAACCTTCCAAACATGAAGCAGGACTAATTACGACTGGCTGCATTGATACGTATCAATCACAAGGCAGGGGCTCCTTAACTTTGTAAAACAAAGTAAAATGGCACTCCATGGAAGAAAACTCCTCTTTAGGTTGTGAGTCGATATTAAAGGCAGCCATGTGCATAGCAATCGCTATCTATTTTTGAGGGTACTGATTTGGGCCATGAGTTTTCATTCGGTTAACTCTTATTGATGCTGTCCTATACCCCGGAGAAGATGCCGATCGCTATGTCCATGGCTGTTTCTCTAATTGCTGTCATAGAACGTAGCGGAAAAAAGTAGCTCTCTTCAATTTTCAAGCGACACTCCCCAGATGTGATCAGGAAACAAAGAAAAGCTTGCTTACTGGTATCTTTTCTTAAACGGGCAAGAGGCGTAAGACTTGTATCGGTTTCTACACCTCCCTCACATCCTGACAAAGCGATACCGGTCCTTCTTCGTATCACAACATGAAAAGGAGCTCTCTTCAGTCTTCAAAGACTACAGTTGACATCGTAAAATTTTCTTCTGGGTTAGCAGGAATCTTCATGTCTCGTGCTTGATAGGTATGAGGATGTCTCATAGGAAACCGAATGGGAAGTCTCGAACTAAGTTCTAGATAGGCTTGCGCTGCTACAGTGTTGGATCTGTAGGCGGTGCAGCTTGCCGAAGAATGGCCAAAACCATTTTCGAGAAAGCTCAGGTACTGGAGCCAGTGCTGCTGGTGCCATAGATCTACCAACCTCCGAAAACATACATGAAATAAACTATGCAACGACTAGGCTGTTTTACTTACCAAACAAGAGTAATGAAAACCGTTGTTGTTCCAGAAGACACATAAATCATTACTTCCAGTCCTTGACAACGGTTGAAAGCACACAATAATCTTGTGAGCAATATATCCTGTCCTGGACATCAGAAAACACTGTAATGCTCAAAAAATTCCAAAATTTCCAGCCCTGAAACTCACGAAACACTGTACTGCTCAAAAAAATCAAAAAATTCTAAAATTCTGGCATCTATGGCCAGGCCGGGGGCAGATTCCTTAAAAGTTTGGAATTCGTTGGGCAGAGCAGTGTTTCGTGCGTTTCAAGGGTTGGAAAAGTTGATTTTTTTGAGCATTACATGTTCTGTGCGGTTGAACCGCACCTCGTCCGGGTGGATTTCCATGGCGTGTGCGGCAAGATTTCAATAGGCTTGGAGTCACACTTGATTGTGCACAGTTGCACACCCATCACATATCGCATGTCCCTCTTCACTAGACCCTCTCATAAACACTCACTGGCTCAAGATTTCGGCTGTGGGAGAACGAGACGGACCAGGCGGTTTTGGTTTAGGACCAGCATCAGCAGGTTTGGAGCCGCTACCCCATGACCTCGTTGTTGAGTGGTACATTAAGCAAATTCACTTCTTTTTGACCATGATCAATCTCAAAGACGCTTTCTGACGAGTTGGTTTCGGTTTTAGGACCAGCCCCCAAGCCGACTGATGTTCATGAGGCCACGGCTGATGCTCATGTTTCTACACGTCCTAGAGTTTCCAAATTCCAGATTTGCAGGATAAGTTTCCAGATTTCCAGATTTGCAGGCTCTAAGATTCCAGATTCCAGAATTGCAGGCCCTACGATTCCAGATTCCAGATTTCCAGATTTGCAGGCTCTAAGTTTCCAGATTCCAGATTTCTGGAAATTTGGAAACCTTAGGGTGAGCAAATCTGGAAATCTGGAATCTGGAATCTCTGGAAACATAGTGCATGCAAATCTGGAATTTGGAAACCTACGTACTGTAGAAAGCCGGAAATCAGGAAATCCAGACTCCGAAAACCGGCAAACGTAGATCTTGGGGGGGGGGGGGGCGAGCATATATATATATATATATATATATGTATATGTATATATATATATATATATGCACCCCAAAGCCCTGTTCGAATCATTAAGGCGTTGGGATGGTGTTGTTGCGTTTCTGCAGCCCCACAGGCTCTACCCCTCTATAGGTGTTTCTATGTGACCCGAAGCAAGGCGCCCTGAGTCCTTGAATTTGCCCAGCAGCCCTTTCCCGGTTGAGGATGTGGATCGAGTGCGCACGTCATCTAAGCAGCAGGTATGGTTTCCATTAACCCTATACCCTAAGCCGTCCCCCAAAACGCCCAAGAATCATGGACATCCAATTCGGGAAGACAGTCAAAGACTGCGACTCGCTTCTGTTCCTGCGGCATCAAATTTCGCAGAAAGGAGCATCAGGGTACAAGCCTTCGCGATCTTGTGTTCTGAGCCTCGAGCCTCGAACTCTTCACCTAATCCTAAACCCTAAACCCTTAAACCCTAAACCCCTACTTCCCTAAACCCTATACTGTAAACCATAAACCCTGCACCAGGGGCAAAGACTGGAGACGATACAGTCTCCCGCGCCTGGCCTTGCAGTTTGGAGTTACACATCGGGGTCCGAGGTCTCATGCGAAACTTACGTTTGGTTAGTGGAGGCGTGGGGTACAATTATAACTACCATTCTTCCATTCCCTACTAACCAAAGGCAAGTAAAGGAACCCTCATAGGATCCCTTTAAAAAAGTAAACCCTAAGGGAAACTGTATAGTGCACATATAGGAACCGCCCTCTATAGCATCCTCTTTAAAGGAGCCATTCAAGGAACCCCTTCAAGGGTTCCTTTAGAGGATCTGCGGGCGTTCCTTTACTGGTTCCTTTAGGGGTTGATCTGAGGGGCTTTCTGAGCATGAAAGCTGAATCCTAGTTCTACAGTTTATACATATATATATATATATAAAGATATATATGTATGTATGTACATGTGAACATGTACATGTGTACATGTATATCTATATGCATATATATATATATATATGCATATACAAACACATGTAATTTTGAATACAAACACATATATGAAAGCAGATATGAAGATGAGTGAATACTGTGCATGTACACGTGTGTAGTATGTGCAGAAAACATACAATAGACACATGCAGATGCGCATGCAGATGCACATACAAAAGTAGTATATACATGAGTTCATATTCACACTTTTATAATGCAACATGTGTATGTACTTGTATTTAGATGTGTACACATACACATCGCTACATGTACAAAGCACACATGTACACATGTTACACAAAAGCGCACCTGTGCATGCACTCAATTATGCATGCATGCTCGCTTACATGCAAGCTTAAGAACTTTCCTACATCCGTGGATCCATACACACTTACATTCATACTTGCCGAGTTACTCTCATGCCAACACCTCTGATCCCATGTTGCACAAAGCCCAGACGCTGCGCGGGATGTTCACTCAATACTCACAGCCGAGCGTGCTGGCCATGAAGACAGCTACTTGGCTAACACAGAGGCCTGAAAAGATAGACTGATTAATGGCAAAAAGAGGGCTCTGTTCGGGGTGGCAAAAGGGCATCAGATGAGGATTTCAATCATTGAGAATATTGCTTTATAGTCACCATAGTCCCGAAACAGGTAGGGCCCTATTCTAGCTATGAAGGCCCCAACATAGATAAATTTGTAGCAAATGCCTCCATAGCTCTAAGCTAATGGGTTCCTGAGACTTGTTCCACCAATTAAACAAGAACCTGACTGTGATCGTGTTTTGTTTCTGGTGGACCAGGCGGGTTTTCAGATGCGATTGATTTTCCAGCATGTGGTGACGAGTTTGTGGTTTAGAGCTCAGGGTTTGGGTTTCTGTACATCAGGCTTGCACGGCTTCGGGTGTTGGATGTGTCTTCCTCAACTGGTTCACTATGTCTATTACTTGTTTCTTCGTACAACAAATTGTGAATCACGACTCCGGAACACCTACATACAACCACTTTAAACCCTGAGCAGTGAACATTGAATCCCTCGTGGCTCCTCACAGCAGCGAAACCTATAGTCTGAAGACATTAAATGCCAACTACATCCTGCAGCTAAAAAGTTCGGAACTATAAACCCAAGACCATGGATCACCACTCGCAAAAATTCGATTATACACCATCGATACCCCCAATCTACGCTGTCCTGCAGTAGTAGTATTACTGTTGATACTAGCAATAGTAGTAGTAGCAGTAGTAGTAGTAGTAGTAGCAGTAGTAGTAGTAGTAGTGGTAGTAGTAGGTGTAGGTGTAGGAGTAGGAGTAGGAGTAAGAGTAGGAGTAGGAGTAGGAGTAGTAGTAGTAGTAGTAGTAGTAGCAGTAGTAGTAGTCGTAGTAGATCTAACGCCGGTAGTAGTGGTGGTACTTGTTGAAGCAGTGGATTGGGCAGGCCATACTACTGTTGCTGCTACTACTGTTGCTGCTACTACTATTGCAGCTGAAACGCCAACAACAACAACGACAACTACAACAACAACTGCTACTACTCCTGCTGCGATTGCCGCTTCGCTGCTACAAATAATGCCACTATCACCGCCACTGCTGCTGCCACTGCCAGTAATTAACTAGTGTGACTAGTGTTGAGGCATTCCAAACCTAGGAGCCCGTCGAAAATGGGTCTGAATAATAAATGGAAAGCATACATAGTCTCTGTGGTTTCAAAGCACGAACTGATAATATGCATGTTCAATATATATATATATGACAAACCTAGGAAAATAATCTGAGCATTCATGAAAAACATGATGGCAATACCCAACACGGATGTTTAAGTCTGTTCCGAAAACGAAGAGTATTCTGGAAATTGTATTTTTTCATCTATCACCAGCTTCTGATTGACGTATGACTGTTTATGAAACATCGCCGACCGTATTTGTCTTTAGAAAAGTACCATGCATGTTCGGCAAGTGTATGGTTAACACAGATTATGTGTCTTTGCGATACTTCTTCACTGATTAGTCTTCATGACTCCTAACAGATGTCTCGACCTCAGTGTTACCATCTCGTCATCCCTCTTGGTGTCGTCGCTATCCAGCAAGTGCAGAACTACTGAGGACCCGGAGGAGGACTCGCCACTTCCTTGCAAAGAGGGCGAATGCCTGTAGGATGTATGGGGTAAAGCTGAAACATTGGGTTAGTTCGCGTATTTTGGAACACCTCACCTCGTTCACATGGGTTTCCAAATGGTCGACGCATTCGACCTGAATCACTAGCTTCTGTCATAGCTTCACGGTTGTGGGATAGGGTCACTTCCTTTCCTTCAGCACTCTCTCTGTAAGGTGGGCCGCTACTTCCTTTTAAGCAAAGAAATTTCGTCATACCGCAGGCCCTGAGGCTGGTCGTTTCGCGTGAAAGTATACACGATCACTTGGTTCCGGCGCATGTCCTTCTGGCGTCCTTCTATCTAGTAGGTTTCGTCAGGTATGAAAAGTGGTTCGTGAGAAGGAAACAAACTGAGGGTCACATACTTCTTCATTCCCTCCAGCTTGACTGGCCGGGTGCGAAGTCTCTAAGCCCTTCACAGACGTGTCAGGGTTCAGGGTTCCAACACCCAGACGTTAAATCAAGACCTTAAACCATAAACCCTCGGAGCTTCTTGGCTGGGAAGACTCAGAAGCAGCCCCCAACCCCAAAACACAAAATTTGTCCAGGCAATGGGGCGAGAAAATCCTGCTCTACGTTGATCGTGTCTCATCCTTTGCCGTTTGTATCAATGCTATAGCTCCTTGGCATGCCTGGTTTAGGGTGTGGGCTTGACGGCTGTAGTGGGGCATTGGCTCACATAAAGTGCAAAGCTTCGGAGTTGAACCACTTAGTGCGCTCGGGTGGCATGGCCTTGAGTGCTGCTTCTTTGAGGAGAGAGGTTTGGGATCGGTTTAGGGTTTAGGGTTTTCTACTCGAGGAGTCTGTTGGTTACTTTATTCGATCTCGGGGAGCCTCTTTGCTCGAGAGGGTCGGCGTCATAGTGCCGAGTAAGCACTGTCGCCCTACGGTTCCAACAGACACAGGACAGTTGTACAAAAACTGTGTCAGGCAACCTTTCCTCACACCTAGCTTCTATAAACCCAAGCACTGGTCTTTGCGAAGCTCGAAACTGTAATGGACTCACAGCCGCGACAGGCTATGATGGTGGAGTTCGAGTTTGCCGGCCAGGCTCGACTTTTCTCTGGTTTTGTTAGGGGAATGAGGCTTGGGCTGTTTAGGGTTGAAGAGTTTAGGGTCTCCTGTTTAGGTGACGACGAGTTATTGCAATGTCGGACATATGTGGGGTCCGTGACCCGGTAGGCCCGTCGGTTTGTTTCGATCGTGATTCGTTTGCTTTCTATCACTTCTTGGCTTGCTGTTGCTGTCCTGAGGGTTTCAGGGTCCAGGCATAATGGGCATCGTGAACCAGAATAAAGAACCCAGTGATACCGAGTCGACTTGAGTGCTCATGCTCGGGCATCTAGAAAAGGTAAACCTGTTAAGCTTATAGTAGTGGTGATGGTAGTTGTAGTAGTGATAGATTATGAAGCTCCCCTTGCGCCCGGAAATTTTGTCCTGCGGAATATTATGATCGTCACCCGAATTACATAGAACAATGCTAACATTACTAGGCAACCTTATGGTCCATGTGTCTGTCTTCCGGCTATAGCTGAATGAGGTATTTGCCGGGCTTAGGCTGTAAGACGAAGTAGGACTGTCACAGTAGGTCGGAGTCATTACAAACACAATAGGAACTACCAACGCGACATTACCCTAAGGCCCCAAAGTAGTTCCTTTTTGGGGTTCGTATATTGAATCCTATAAGGTAATCCCAAAAAGGAACTACTTTGGGGCCTTAGGGTAGCACCAGTTAAAACACTACGCCCCCCCAGGCCAACGCATTCCAAGTGGGCTTCGCCAGCGAGAGCACCTTTGCTTTGGCTTGCTAGGGGGAAAGCCGGGGGTTTTAAGATTTCATGGGCACCCGCCCAGGTCGTCGCTTCTGCAGCAGCATGGTGAGCTATAGTGAGCTATAACATGTCATATATAATGAAACGTAATCTTAATGTAATGTTGTATATACACAGTACATAACATCTAACATATGCAATACAAGGCAATACAATACAACACAATGCAGTGCAATGCAACACAATACAACACTATACCATACAATAGTACATACACACGTACACACATACACAGGCATACATACATGCATACAAACATATCTATACCCACATGTACATTCACATACTTGTATACCACAAACGGCTATTGTGATATAGTTTACGATGTTATCTACTACGTAATACAATACAGTATAGTTTTGTGCATTTTGTAACAAAAATATCATGTTTCAATGTAATACGTCTTAAATTTGTTATATCACAATATAGTCCAGTATGAGATGAGATAATGTAGCATACGTAGTACATATCAAGCAAAAGCCATGTAATACAACATACCATAATATGTAATTGTTATCTGTCACCTAAGCACAGGGAGCCTGTGGTCTTGTCTCGGGGCGAGTGTGTCTTGGGATCTGGGTCTTCGCTTCAGCCCATTTTTTCGCATCCTACCCTTGAGCCGTGCCTCTGTCCTCGGCTCCCCAAACTAATTAAACTCAACAGATTGAATGAAATAGATAGTCGTTTAAGAGAAAACAAAGCCTTTGTATTATATCTTGTAAGTGTGTGGTACTGAGTGAGGACATGGCGAGCTTGCGTAACGAAGATGTTCTCAGAAAGTGTGACAGGTTGACAGGCGAGAGGTACCCCAGCGATTTTCCTGGCCACTTTGGAAAGAGCCGTAGTTACCTCACCAGTTCATGGCCGCAGCCGGGCCTTGCATGTCAGCATTACAAGTTCCTTTTTGGGATTACCTTATAGAATTCTACATATGAACCCCAAAAAGGAACTACTTTGGGGCTTATGGGCAAGCCCAAAGCCCGTGTCCAGGAGGAATGTAGAGTACATACTGCCACCGACACCAAGGCTTTGATTGCATGGGCACTAGCTCGGTCCTGGCGAGGGCAGCTCTAATGTAGTCTAGTCTTTCTTAGGGCCTAGGGCTTCTCGATCCATCTATGATCCGTATCTGCATGTGCACACGCAGACAACTTCTCAACTCGAACCCCGAAAATTTCACCCCTAAACCTCTAAACCCCTTAACCCCTGTCTTGGGAAGGTATAGAGCAGACCTTCAGCGCTGCGATCCCGAGTTTCATGATGCTTCGCTGCCTGGCTTATGAGCGACATCCCCCAACCTGAAAGCCCTAAACCCTAAGCCCACAGGCACCCAAAGTAGTTCCTTTTTGGGATGAAAAAAGAACCTACTTTGGGGCTTATGGGTAAGCCCAAAGTCCTACAAGCCCAATAACCCTAAACCCCAAACTGCAAAGCGGAGCAGAGCGGCTGCAGCCGAAGCCCTCCAGCACAGAAAGTACCCTATACGCTGCAATCCCCTCCGAGTCTTAGAGTATACGAAGCGATGAAGCGCCTGGAACTTTACAGGTACGATATATCCTAAACCCTAAACCGTAACCCTATTGCGGGGTTGGGATTCGGAAGACTAGGCTAGCCGTTGGTCCTAATCTTAGGAGAGATTGGCTGCTGAGCAGGACTTAGGTGTCGGCGTGTGGGCTCAGGTTGAGATTTTGTCCGGTAGTTATGGCATAGAGGTATCAGATAAAGGGATAGCCTCTATTTGAGTTTCTTCTATCCCCATCTATGTATGACACATGAAACGCCAAACCACAAACCAGGGCGTCGGATCGAAGATTTAGGATCTCGGAAACTGTTTACACTTGTGGGCCCCTCCCGAAGCGGAAGCATTGGTGTGCTCCATCCTCTACATCTCAGAAGCTGAGCAATTCGATTATTGGGCTTCTAGAGCTGCGGGTACACAGTTGGGGCGAGGGTTTAGGTCTTCAGGTTTAGGTTATTCGTTTGTCTTTTGAGGGTTGCATGAAAAGGGTTGTCAAGTCCCGAGCACCGTTTCACAAGGTATATTCTTCGACGTGTTCTTTCTCATTGAGTTTATGATTCGAGGGGCAGTGCTGCGATCACAGGTGCTGAAGGACGGCCAAGCCCGTATAACTTACGTTACACGGACTTGTAGAGGGAAGTCGTGTAGGGTCGAGGTATTACGGTTTCGGGTTCCGCTGTGGCCTAGAACTTGAACACAGGAACGTCAAGACCCTCGACATGTTCCACCCCAGCCCCTAAAATTGATGCCTTATAGATTCTAGAATCATCTATAAAGCCCTCATAAACCCTTCTAGAACCCTCAGAGATCCCAATGTTCATGCTTGGGGAATGTTGGCCCCTCATGGGAAGGGTTCACTGTTTCTTTCCGTAGACTTGGGGCTCTAAACCCTAAACCCTACCTGTAGCGCCTGTGGCGCCCATGACTTACAGTTTTGAGGAATGACAGACAGATACCAAAATCAGGAACCCTGGAAATGGTGGGTTTTTTGGGCTACAGGAATGGTCTAGAGACGTTTCAGATCTGACACTCTTGGGCTGTTTTTGACGCCGAGCCCTGACTCGAAATGTAGAAGCTTGAGGGGTTGGCAGACTTTTGTGCCCAGGTCACGCGGGTAGTTCTATAAGTTAGGGTCTCTTTTCTAGCGTCCTGTATATGGGGGTACCGCACTGTTTCGGGGACCGAAGAAGTGCCCTAACTTAGAGGACTGCCCAGGTGTATACTAGCGTATACATCCATAAAGGGAACTCCAGAAAGTTGGAATATGGAATAATGGCAGGATCCCCTATAATTTACCTTAAAGGGATTATGATAATGATATTCCAACTTACCGGCTTCTACTGTACATCTATAACTATGAACGTATCTATCTGATTATGTATCTGTCTTTCTTTCACGAAGCATATTTGATGGTTCAGTCATGTACCTCAGCTTGCAGATGTCAATAAACTTGCTTTGTTTCTTTTCGCGTGTGGTCCTTTCGTGCTGTGATATGCTGCACAAACTAAACCGCAAAGACGATGCCACGACCACATCAATGCCGGAACCAACTCCTTCTGCTTCTCGGACTTGGCCTTGTCTAAGGTCTTACAGGCATGGTGCGTACGCCGAACCGTGATCTGTGACCCATGCATAGCACACACTGTGAATGTTGTTCCAAAACCGGTGGCCTTCTGCTATATTTTGGGCATTCTAGTGCATTCGTGTGCTGTACAGTGGTCCCCACCAAAGAAACAACATCACACACCCTCCCCTGTAATTTATAAACACACCTCGACGAAGCTTAGTCCGTCCCGGTGGTGCAGCAGACATGTGGCAGGGATCCCTAAACCCACCCGCAGCCGCAAGTCGGGCATGACTGTAGGCACTGACCCGATTGAATTAGCATGAGTTAGCATATATCTACTCCGCCCGACAAAACTCTAACAAGCAACATAAATCCTAGGGGCCTTTACACCAGGAAGCCTTTCCCCCACCACCCGGCACACACACACACACACCACACACACACACACACACAGACACACAGACACACAGACACACAGACACACAGACACACAGACACACAGACACACAGGCACACAGACACACAGACACACAAACACAGACACACAGACACACAGACACACAGACACACAGACACACAGACACACAGACACCCAGAGACGCAGACACCCAGACACACAGACACACAGACACACAGACACACAGACACACAGACACACAGACACACAGACACACAGACACACAGACACACAGACACACAGACACACAGACACACAGACCCACAGACCCACAGACCCACAGACCCACAGACCCACAGACCCACAGACCCACACACCCACACACCCACACACCCACACACCCACACACCCACACACCCACACACCCACACACCCACACACCCACACACCCACACACCCACACACCCACACACCCACACACCCACACACCCACACACCCACACCCCCACACCCCCACACCCCCACACACCCACACACACCCACACACACACACACACACACACACACACACACACACACACACACACACACACACACACACACACACACACACACCCACACCCACACCCACACCCACACCCATACCCACACCCACCTGCACCAGGACTCGGCCAACCTTTTCGACCTGGCGCTAGTCCTCGCTGGGGTGATGGACCGGGGTTGGGTTCAAGGGCTTTGGACTTTCCGTAAGGCTTGAATGAACTTTTCAGGTTGAGGTACTTCCCTTCTACTTCCCTTCTGCAGAGGTCTGCAAAGGATTGAGTCTCCAAGGGCAAGTTGAATTCTGCACCAACTCGACCTTCTGACTTGCGCACCTCCAGTTCGATGGTTGAAGCGTTTTGAACTGCATGGCGCTGACACCACAGGAGATGATCCTTATATTCGTCACGCCATGGACGTTGACGCATGACGATCGAATGCACCTCGGAAGGTCAGAACTTCAAGTTGAGTTGCATGCAGATATCCCGAGAAGTCAGAGGTAACTTATCGAGAGACAGTTGGCTGCTTGTATGTGCAGGTAGTTTAAATTTTAGGCGGCAGAGGACTGCTTCATGGGCCACACGACTCTGACGAGAGCACGTAAGGGGGCTTCAGACGTTGCTACGAGGTGGACATTGTCTCCCCGATCTCGCAACCAGAAACTTGAAGCCCGAAACCGAAGTCCTGAGTCCCAAGGCCTAAAGTCCAAACCAAATCTAAATCCAACACCCGAAGCACAACAAAGTAAGCCCTATGCTTTTAGCATGTGGATGACTCAGGTTGGGCCTAATCCTGCGGGCCTTGCTGCTGAGCATGAGATAGCGAAGGGTTTTGACTTGTGGTGTCCTGGGCCGTTTGTTTTTGATGGTTAAGGGTTGAGAATGCGAAGCAGCCGAAGCCGCTCATGCAGCAGCAGCCGCTGCTGTTGATGTTGCTGTTTGTTACCATTGTCTCTGCTGCCCTTTGCAAGTGGTGGCGATGTAGATCGACGTGTGTTTCGTTCTTTGAGCTTGATTGTGCTGTTGCTTTTGCTGCTGCCTAGCTGCTGCATTTTGTGGCAGTTGTGCTTTTGTGTGTTTCGTCGGTCGTGGTCGTTGTCGTGGTGGTCGCTGTCGTTGTGGAGGTGGGGGGTGGGGGGTGGCGGTGGCGGTGGTGGCGGTGGTGGTGGTGGTCGTGGTAGTCGTGGCGGTGGCGGTGGTGGATGATATGGCTGCGGCCGCTTGTGTTACATGCATGTCGTACGGCATGCAACAGATATCGTAGGAGGCAGCCTGTCTGCGGAACATTACATACAATTCGTTTGTGTTGTTTTCGTCAGTATGTTTTCCGACTACTGTAAGGAAGCTTTTATGTACAACTAGCACGCGCCTGAAGGCAGGGCGCCATTGATCAAATCTGGTGCTGCACCTGCATCAGCCTCTGTAACACGGCTCCAGCCCCACACCCTAAACAGCACCTCGACTCCCGTGACGTCTTAATTAGCATGTGAACCCTAAACCCTAAACCCTAAACCCTAAACCCTAAACCCTAAACCCTAAACCCTAAACCCTAAACCCTAAACCCTAAACCCTAAACCCTAAGCCCAGGGGCTCACTCAGAGTCTCTCGGTCGCAGACATGCTCAACCCTAAGCCTTCGGGACTTCGCATCTTCAGGGTTTAGGGTTTAGGGTTTAGGGTTTAGGGTTGGTTGTACCTTTTCTTTGCACGGACTGTAGACCTGTATTAAATAGGCAGGAAGCCATGTAGATCCCTGCAAAGAACCTGTATAGATCCCTCTGAAGGAACCCTCATAGACCCCTGTGAGGGCGCTCTTGTTTCCTTTCCCTGCAAGTGACTGATCGGTGTGTTCGGCGGATTCCTTCGTGCAAGGAATCCTTGTCAGTTTAGGGCTTAGGTTTTTGGGGTATAGCTAATTATTCCCCGAAACCCTAGACCCTAAACCCTTAGGGTTCAGGTTTTAGGGCTGAGGATTCAGATTTTGGGGTAGTTTAGGGAAGTTTAGGGTTTCAGGTTTAGGGGATCCACCGACACAGGACTTTGCAGATGGAGACAGGTGCATGCAGCATTCCGTGTCCGAAGGGCTCGCGCCACCCTGTTAGATCTGTTTCAAAGCCTGGCTCGGCATTGCTCTACAGACCCCATGCCCTGAAGCTTGTCAAGTATGAGCCCGAACTTGGGTGTAGAGCGGCCGCGACGCTGCAGGGAGCCCCCTCCGAGTTCATTCCGCCATAAGTTCGGGGCTGTATTGTCATTTAACCTACGCAGTATACGTCCATAGACACGGTTTGCTCTCACTGTCTTTGTGTCAAGAGGTCATTCTGGCTTTCCGGGTTCAATTCAGTTTGGTTTGCATAACGACAGGGATGGTACTTCGGGGTATAGCCACTTACTCCGACGTCTTGATTTTGCTTTAGTCTTTGTCGGGTTCTGGGCTTAAGAAGTCGCAAACACATGCTTGAATTCGGTTTAGGCATCAGTTGTTTTGGGCTTGGGCTTTTGCAAGGCAACATCATAGTAGTCAAGTGTAGGTGTACGGTAAATCTTGCGAATCATCATGTTCCTTGATGTACGGCTATACGTCGTTGCTCCAATACCGGTGACGATTGCGATATGTTGTGTTGATTTCAGGGCCTTAGTTTATCTAGTAAACTCCAATGCACATTGAGAACACAGACCCCTCGCAGGCTTGTCAGGGCTCCCGGCTAAGTGTTTCAGCAATTCGAGAGGTTTTGAGGGTCTCACACATGAAGGAGCACATGTCATCTGCACATATGCGCACCAGAAAGTAATTCAGGTCATACTCATCGGCTCATACGTCTTCAACAAACACATACGTGGTTGCAGATGCACGCAGAGGCTAGTGAGTAGCAGTATACATACAGAGACAGATGCAAGATTACAGGTGTACCAGCATGTTAGCCAAAGCGAAATATGCAATCAGTATACCAGACTTACCTACCTAGAGGCTCAATAGTTGATCCTTTCTGGGTTTCATATTTAGAATCCTTTAAGGTAGTCCGAGAAAGGAACTACTATGGAGCCTATGGGTAGCGGTATATGCAAATTAGGGTCCTTTGTGCTGGTAGGGTTTCATACGATTTCAGCTGCAGCCCAGGCGATACGTGTCTTGCGCGTCTTCCGCTTCTGCGCGGGCCTTCAGTTATTGATGAAGCTCTGCAGCATTGAGTGAGACTTCGGGTGTCAGATCCCCGAGCAGTGGCACATACTGAAGGCAACATTTACCACTTGATCTCTCTGCGGTCTAGAGACTAGGTAGATTGTTCTGAGTTCCAAATCCCAGAAACCCAAACACCGGCCTCAAGCAATGCTAGAGGGGGGGGACTTGCATGAAGGATCGCAGGGCTGAATAAGCAGGTTCAGAGTTCCTGTGGCGGTTCGCAGAGTACTGCGATGCTTTCTTGCCCCGTCATGGTTCACGTGGCTGAGGTAGGTGTCAGCTTTGTCGGGTATATCTAGCCCTACCTGGGCTTTGGAGTACCATACTTTAACTCTTTTCCGTATGAAACAAAAGTTTTATACTTTTTCTCCCTGGATTACTTAAAAGCCCAGCTACAATACCTACACAGGTTCACTGTTTTGTGGAAGGAACTCGGCTGTTCGATTCAGCACAAGTGAGCGATGATCCCTAGCTCTACCTGTACATACACCCCTGCCCCTTATAGTAAAAGTTATGTAGCCCTTGCATTGACCCTTACAGCTGATCCCGAGGCGCTCGTGCTTGTCGATGTATTATTAACGCCAGAACTGCTTCAACGTAGTTGGCTTGAGAGCCTTTATCGGTAAAGGAAGCCAGAAGTGTGCGTACAGCTAGCAAGACCAGCGATATTTGATCAAGAATGCGAAAGCCCAAAACCCTGAACCCATCTTCATAATCCTAGTATAAATCCCTAAACCCACTATAAATCCCTAAACCCTACGCCGAAAATCATGGCCGAATCTATGGGACAATTGCTGTCTCAGCCTCGGGGCTTCCGCTTCCGTATCCTAAAACTTGAGTGTAATTCAGCGTCACCCAGACCCTAAGACTCCAAGTGTACAAATAGTACCTACTTTGGGGTCTAAAGTCTATAAATACTACCTACTTTGGGCCATTTGCCTCCATATATAGTACCATTATGAAAATAGGCCCCAAAAGACCATCCTTATCAGGGTGTGAGGGACCTAATCCCACGATGGTACTGTATATGGAGCCTCTAGGTCATAGCCTACTACCCAGAGAGCCCATACCCCTTAAGTAAGGGATATAGCTTAAACCATAAGAATATGAAGCCCTGCGTAATTTAGGCCATGTCCTTCATTAAGGGGTATTGGGCTCTCGGGTATCTTGTAGGTTTTGGGGCTAGAGCCCTATAGCTCCCTCTTTCGCTCAGGAAAGCTTGTCAATCCTTCGTGACCTCCCTGTTCTGGTCCATGGCGTCTTGCTTTGCATTAAAAATAGGGTTCAAGCTTACGTACTACGCCTTGAGCTGCAGTATCTTGTTTTGGATAACCTGTTGTGTGGCGATAGGATCCCACAACAAGAACAACAAGGTCGGATGCATGTCCCGTTACAGGACCTGTTTCAGGGTTGCCGGGCATTCGGTTAGAGCCTCAACAGGGCTGCTGCGTGACCAGAATCAAGTTTCCCTGCAATGCCAACGTCATCAGCAGGAACATTAACATTCCCATCACGTAGCAAGAAATGCACAACATGCCGAACACCAGCGAAAGTGGGCCACACCTGTCTTCTCGCGGAGAGTTGCAGAAACGAATGTAAGCTTCGCTGTATGATATCGAAGCATGTAAGTTTGGACAGCAACTTTAAGAGGCGAGTTCAAGTTCTGTTGAAGGCCAGGGTTTAACATACTGACATGTGGTGGTTTAGGGTTTAGGGTTAATTTGCGGTGATGTTGTGTGTGGTGATGGGATTGGAAACAGGACATCTTGCACTGAGCTACCGTATTTAATCTCGACTTAGGTCCTTCTGGGCGTCTGCATGCTCGCTGGCGCCTTGGTGGTAGGACGCGCAGCAGCACTCGAGTCCATTATTGTTTCTCCGTTTGTTGGAGCGGTGTGTGTCGTGTACCAGTCATCCAATTATTAAGGCAACTATACATAGAGGTTTTTATAGAAAGCTCTATGAAAAATATAATTATCAAGGCCCCTATACTATCCTTTGCCTCGCTCACTTGCGGATCACTGCTCTCTGATGTGGGAGCTTCAGAAAGCCACAGGGTGCCTTGGTGCGGGGCTTGCATTACGAATCTCCGAATTTTGGGTTCTGTGTATATATGGGAGTTTCCGAAAATAGGGGACCCTAATGTAGTACCCTAAACAGTCGGATCCTTATTATAAGGACCCCAAATAATTTTCGGAAACTCCCATATATATATATATATATATATATATATATATATATGGTCACCCCCCCCCCCCATGACAGACCATGCCCTTTCGACTCAGTCGTAGTGCATGGTCTGTGATCGGGGGGAGGGGGCACTCAGCTTTCAAAGACTCAATTCCAAAATTTCCAAAATTCTCTCCCCTAACTTTCCGGATTTCCAAAATTTCCAAAACTTATGTTTTGGAAAAATCCGGTCGACTAGGTCGGGAAATTTTGGAAATTTTGGAAAGTTAGGGGAGAGAATTTTGGAAATTTTGAAAATTTTGGAAATGCTGGAATCTGTTCTATATATGACTCAAGTAAGATTACTGTGTAGTGCTTACTATGTAGTGTATCATCACAACCCTCATCCATACACGTGTGCTCTGTAATTCCTTTCTTGGTAGGACACCCGCGCGCCTTATCGTGCTAGTCTCCGCATCGGACCAGAACTAGTGTCACTTTCGGAGCCAAAAATGACGTCACAGTAGGGCGAGGCATCACTGAGCAGGCACGTTGCAAGACTAGGACAGCATTCATGTTGCATGCATTTCTTTTCGCGCTCCTGTGTTCCCAAAACCTTCCAAAACTCTCTGACGCAACACTACGGTCACTACGATGTAAATCGGCCGTGGGCGGTGAGACTTACGCATGGAACAATGTGTCGAGCATCATGCCGGCAGTGGTCCAAGCATTCTTGGTTCTGAACCAGTATGTAAACTGTGCAACACGAATTTTGCGAGTCAGTGCATGATTACCGGGTGCGCGGGGGGTGTGCTTGATGTGGTTTCGTACATGTGCCCAAAATCGATCAATGATTTGTGTTCCCGACTTCACCTTCAAGATCGTCTTGTTAGGAAGCTTGAGCTTGTGCACCTTGGTGTAGTGCGGCTTCATCCAAACGACCTGAAGCGATTGCATGTTTCCTACAATGATTCTGTATCTATAATTTCATATAATATCATATTATACAAGCCATAAACGAGAAAATGTACGTAACCACCTTCTTGTTGACAATGGTCTTTTTTCTTGTGCACTACATTGCAATGGAGAAGTCCTGGAAGCTTCAGCTTGTACGCTCGGGCACCGTCGGTATGAAGAACAACTTGGCGATTTGAGAGGAGGGGGGTTCCGATCTTTTTCCAGTCGTACTTCCGAATGGGTCCTGGTCCTGGCGCTCGGGTCTTCGTAGTGGGAGGGTTGAGGCGGACTAGTCGTAAGGAAGATGGACGACCCCTTTCCACGATGCCACACCATTGCTCCCACCGCACTACCTTGCCCTTGCCTTCATCATCATCCTCCTCCAACGCTTTTCCCAAATCAACCTCGTCCGCCTCAACGTCCATCCATGTGTCACCTTCGCTGGTCCCGTACACGATGTGCTTCTCCTCACGCTGTACATAACGCGCCCTAGCCACCTCCAGGTTGTGGAAAATGCGCTCTACGGGTTTGTGGTCGTTGCTTGCATAGAAACACCTGCCACGGCCGCATACAGAATGGAGGCTTGCACATTCAGTGGAGTTATTGAATTTCCACTCCCACGAAAGAAGATGGGGTGAAAGTCATCCACCTGAAGATACTGCTTACACCCACGCCCACTGCACTGATGCAACCAACCATTCCGGGCTTTCGTGTACTTGAGCTTACCCAAGGTACCCTTACCGCATCGAGGACAGAGCTGGCCCTCCCAATTTGGCAAAATATTATCCTTCTGCAAGACCCGAACCAACTCCCGATAGGACATGCTCATGAAAGACTGGATTGAGCGACCCCATCGTTCACGATGTGCACGAAATTTGACGGTCACTTGTCCATGACGAACATATGGTGTGGGGGTGTAGGTCTTCTTCTTGATGGACATGAGCTGTTTTTAGCTAACACCTATCTTTTGCCAATATCACAAAATCACCAATAAATTCCAATGTTAATTTCATTAAATTGAAATTAGAGAACTAGTGATTTTGCTCCACCTTTAAAGACTTATTTCTTCAATGCTGCTCTGATCTTCCCACGCTTTGGCACCGGCCACGGTCCTTTGGTCTTGCTCTTCGTGTTTTTGGCATAGCTTTTTTTGGTCATGGAAAATGTTCTACTGCTTTCAGTAGAAGTGAAACCAGAGTAGGAGTTCAGACCAAATTGAAGCCGAAAGATCTGCTACGTTTTGAAGATGAGAACGAAGTATTTAGTCCCGCACCGCTGCGAGCACAGCATGCATGAGCATTCATTTTTTCCTGCGAGCATCAAACTAAAGGCGATGGAGAGAAACCGGTATCAAAATGTTTCCCTGCGGTGGCCACGACCATCGGGTTGCGTCAGTACCGATCTGTTGCAGTATTTCTCTGAACCAAAACATGTAAAATTCAATATAGTCTTATCATAACATAGTGGGGGAATATATGTTTTGGAAGTGGCGGTTCTTGACCTTTGCACAACTCTTTAAGCTATGACGTTATCTGCATGCGCACTGGCCCTCAGGACGCTGATTCCACCACATCCATCTCATCATCCGATTTCTGGGACTTCTCCTCGAGAATCTTTTCAAGCTCCTGTTCTACGTCATCCTTATCACCGCCATTGTTGCTCTGCAGCTCCTCATCCGCGTCGGGGTTGGGGGGCAAGCCTGCGAAATCCGGATTCCTGATGTTGCATTCACCCTGTCTCGCCCTCTTTGCCGGTGATGGGGAATCCAACTCAATGGGTGCACGAACCGATTGCGAAGAAAGCGACTGCGCGAATGCCAACCGCTCCCTCTTAACACGAATAGACTCCGGGCAAGGTCGAGGAACGGGGGCTTGATCTGGATGGTCATGCTGGCGAATGGCCTCGAGCAACCACGCATTTTCCCAAAGAATCCGACTCTCCTGATTTGCGGGAGGGGGGCCTTTCCTTTTGAAGTTAGCAATGATGGGCTTGGCACTTGCTTTGATGAGGTCAGGAAGAAGCCAACTTTTGCGATTGATAGGCTTCTCCAGAGGACCGGGCAAGCGCCAGTAGACGGAGGTCTTAATGACGAGAAAGAATACGGACCGCTTGAAGATTGCCATGGTGTCGACTGAGGAAATGTCTCCTTTGAATGCTAGGTATGTGTGTGTGTGTGTGTGCTTGTGTATGTGTGTGTGTTTTATGCCCTAAACCCACACAACATACAAGTTAATAAAGCACGAAAAGTTGTACGATCTTTCAAAACAATTCGATTCTATCATTCGTCTTCTAGTACTACGTGTTAATCAAATAATACAGCTGATACAGATACAGATCATAAACAAGCACCGAAACCGTGCGCGCCATCAATCAAAATAAGTTTCCGAGTGCTGGGCGGATCATCTTAACGAAGTCGTCGTGTGAGATGGTTGGGTTGGGTCCCGGCACAATCTCTGGCTCCTGCACCCGCTCGTAGGCGTTGTCGATGACTACACGAAGTTGGTTTTGTTTAAATTTCGCTGCTGTCCACCGTTCACGGGTGAGTGTCTCGGTATCCGCAACATCCGAAAACGCCTTTTTTTTCTTCACCGGCTCCAACCCGATCTCCCCGTCGTCGTAAATGGCTGGGACAGCTGTCGAAAATGGGCATCCTCGGAAATATTGAAAGTCACTACCGCTGCGGTAGCTTCCCACCCCGCCATGGTAACGACTGAACATCATGGCTAAAACCCTTCCCAACGGCGTTTTGCCCTTCCCCGGTTCTCCCAATACCCAAATAGCATGCTCGCGGAGGTAGGGCACAATCTTGAAAAAGAGATCCTGGATTTCATCTGCAAAGTCAGAAATAACCAAGTCGGACCGGGTGATCAAGTCCGCCATGGTTGCATCGGTGGCCAAGCTATCGAGGCATCGTTGCACAAGACCGTCTTTCCAACCCTTTATTGGTGAGTTTGCCGCGACGTTCTTCTGGATCCATAGAAGCTGTTTCAAATTCCCCTTATCCCTTTCACCATGCTCCCGGATGTACTGAAACCCCTTCTCCAGCTCCTCCTCGGATTTCTCCATTACAGCTTTTGCTTTCTTCTTTTGCTCAGGGGCAAGAACAACAAGTCTGTATTGGATACCGCCCATCTGCTCCAACATAAACTGCCGAGCTTTTTTTGTAGTTTTCGGATTGTGTCCCCACACGACCTCATGAAGGGTTCCATAGCCACAACCACTTACGAGTGAAGCTTTGATCTTGTTGTTGGGAAGGAAAACGTGTTTCACGATGCAGTGCTTGCCGTTTGCCTGGGTGCGGATAAAAACCTGCATCAAGTACTTCACCTCTAGCTTCTTTTGGAGTCCGAATGGGGCTGGCAGCTCGTCCCAAGCCTGATCTCGAAGGATGGGGCCTAGCTGATCGTGATTGATGGGTCCCTCGAAGTCGTAAATGATGTCGAGGAAATGTTTGAGGGTCGCAGGGCGGGATTCAAGCTCACGAATAGGAAGTGTCAAGGGAGATACGGGACCTGCCGGCATAGGACCGACCTTTACATGTTGCGGTAGAACACGTATCCACAAGTCCGAGGTGGCCTCCGTCGCGTTCGCGAGAGTAATGTTCTCGGGATCCATGACACTTGAACGGGGGACGGGCGTGATGGCTTGTAACTGCGAGATACTCAATGTGGCTGCAATCGCGAACATATCGATTTGTGCTTCAAATTTAATGCGAAACTCTCTCTCAACAACTGCGCCTGACAGTTGCGATCTGTTTTGGATTCGCCGTTCGTCGTCATCGCCGCTACGCTCACTCATTCTGCATGTGTCCTGAGTACATGGCATGTTACATGTAAATATGCTATATACCTCATGTAGCGGTTTTGCTTCATAGAATATCGTCGTGCACGGTGTTTTTTAGACCCGTGGTCTGTCATGGGGGGGGGGGGGTGAGCATATATATATATATATATATACACACATGCATATATCTATTACATTTGATGAATTATTGTCTTAAGACTTCTCCTCTGTCAGGCCGTAAGCCCAAAGAAGCTCGGGCCCTGGCCCGCACCCCGAAATGTCCAGCACGGCCTAAACTTTAACTGTCAAGTAGGCAGATAGGTGCAACCCCTCGAAGTACATCGTCGATCAGACATGAGAAAGCCCCAGCACCCAACAAATACCCTAAACCTGGGGAACCCCCAACAAATTTTTGACATCAGAGAAACAGCTGGTTGCGTGTTTCCCGCCGGTATGAACTGTACATCACAACATTCCCACAAAGATCCCAATACATGCCACTTGCCGAAAGCATGCAGCATACACTCTTTGATTTAGGGTTTATATCGGTTTGGGATGTCGACGTTTCGGGCTCAGGGCTTGACATGTGTAGCTGCCGGTGCCTACGCGAATGATGTGCATGTCTCATTGAGCAGCCCCTAAGGGTCCATGTGCTCATATAGTATGGGTTGGGTACATGGACCCTTAGGGAGCACTCCGACTCGTCGAAGCACTAGCACAGACCGCAGTCCGATGGCGACCGGCCTTCATAGATCTCTGTAGTCTCGGTACAATGATGCCTCACGGGCGTCTGGGATCTATAATTACTCCCCCATGCCGATGCAACAAAGGGGCAGCTAGGTTTCTATCTTTTGGGTTGAGGGTTCGTGCACGGGTGCGTACGACATTGAATTTCAGGGTCTCTTGGGTTACGGGTTTTCCATCCGATCCGACAAGAACTGTCGGGAAGCATCTCTACGATTGCATCGGTGTGGGTGAACTGGTTTGCGGTGGAGGCTTTAGGGCTGAGGGGGCAGATGAGCCTGTTGAGTATACACGTCGGTGGAAAACGATGGCGGAGGCCGACTAGCTACAATACACTTGGGCTTCTGGCGTTTTTTAAGCAAGCGCCCTGACTGGGGGCGGCAGTTAGTTGGCAGTTTTCATGTGTTTGTAAAAACTGCTGTTGGCGGACCAAGGAAACCTTCTGCAAGATTACATCCGGGGCTCTGCAGACCTGGATGACCGGCAGTGGGCTACTAGGCTTGACACTGACATGTAATCGTAATCCGTAAACTCAAGCACGGTTCGGTGTAGAAATTCGGTATTGCAACAAAGAGTAGTCCGCAGGATGTTTTTCAATGCGTCGTCGCTCCGTTGAATTGACTGCATCGTTCTGCTGCCAGTCGCATTCGGCCATGACAGTGCATCAACCAACAGCACCCAAACGGAACATCTCCAATAGCCGAAACAGCAGTTGATGCTGGTTGGGATGCATCAGGTTCGTAGGGCTGCAAAACCTTCAGAAGTGATCAGCCAGCGAAGTTGGCCAGAGCAATGTCTAACGTATCCCACGAAATCCTTGCCAAAATGCGATTATCCAGCCTTTGACGTCGTGGCAGGGCGGGCTGGTTGTGAACGATTTTGAGTGCTTGCGCATGCTCTCAGTCTCTCTCCGCTCCCATGACGATTGCCCCAGAGTATCTGTGAACTATTGAGCTGTTTCAACGGCAACATTGCAGCTGCACAAAGCAACCAAGGTTTGGCAGTTCTATGGGACGACCTACAGATCGTGGTTGCCCAGCTGTGTTTTAGCCACGAAGACCCGAAACCTGCACAGTTGACATGTCTCTGCAGGGGAAGTGCAGCGTTTGATGCTTGTGCGATCGGACTAATTAGGCGTTGTTCTCAGTTCCGTTTAGAAAGAGGAAGCACGAAGTGGCCCCCTTTCTTTCAGAAGTCTGCATATTTACCGAGGTACACACTTTACGAGATAACTTTCGCTGGCAACTTGGCAATACAAGCCGCGGAACATCCTGAGCCACGGACCTGCTACTCCAAACTCCAAATGGGAGTTTCAAGGGTTACTGCCAAGAAGTATGGGAGTTTCAGGTACTATAGAGGTTCCTCTAAGGGTTTAGAGTTTCCGCAAATTAGGGGCAACTTATGTTGGGGTCCGTATAATAATTAATAAGGATTCTACTATTTAGGGCACAATCTCACCGTCCCGCATTTTCGGAAACTCCCAAATGGAGGTGCAGGTGGGTCCTTTTTTCCACTGTATGTAAGTATGCCTGCATGCATGCATGGACGCATGTATGCCATCGTATGCAATGTCTTTCTGCCTGTCTGGCTGGCTGGCTGTCATGTAGGGATGTTGGTACGTGAGTTTGCTTGTTTGCGCGTGTGTGCGCGCGTGTTTTTCGTGTGTTGGTCTGTCTGTCTCTCTGGCTGTCAGAATGTCAATGTATGTAAGTATACCCGCACTGCATGTATGCGTGTGCATGGAGGAATGGATGGATGGGTGGATAGATCGATGGATGGATGGATGCATAGATGCATGCATGGATGGATAGATAGATGGATGGATGCGTGGATGCATGGATGCAGGGATGCAGGGATGCAGGGATGCAGAGATGCAGGGTTGGATGAATGCATGAATGGACGCATGGCCCAGCTGTGGATGGCTGTCTGGATGGATGGATGCATGGATGTGTGCATGTCAGCATGTTGTAGGTCGGTCGGTCGGCAGGTAGGTAGCTAGGTGGGTGTAGGCGGGTATACATGTAATAATGCATGCGTGTATAGACATGTACGCAATGCGGGCCGTACTTACAGCCTTGCACCACGACGTGTTTTATTCAGTGTTGAAGGCACAGTCAGATTTCGTGCTACACTAACTACACCAGCCGGGGACTCCTCTCACAGCCTTTGCAAAGTCGCAGTACAGATTCCTGGGTTGTGCTTTGGGATAATTTTGATTTTTCCTTATTTCCTTGTAAAGGGAACCTATTCATAAATAATTTTCAAAGGGTTTAAAGCACAACCCAGATTCGGAATCTCAGGTAATTGGCCGACGATGGCAAGACCGGCGTCTTGGCAAGAAGCTCCACTCTGAGCACGCAAGCGTGAGACTTATCCGTTCTGAGTTCCGGCTCCCGGCAATTACCTTACTATTTCTCTATAGACTGGGGTCCTGTAGGCCATCCGCAGGACGATACATGAGTCAATGGGGGTCCTACCCAGGGGTGGCCGCTGCGGAGCTACTATCCGGGCACAGTTTAGTGTAGTGGACCCAAAGCCCCCTATACTACATCCTGAACGATCAAGCTCAAGTTTGAACCAGCCACCCTCATCCCCAAACCAAAGACTGACCTATGCTGGTAACGTCTCCAGCTCTCAGACACGAAGATGATTTCCACAGTCTGCGACTGTGCCCCCCCCCACCAGTGCTTAGTAGGGAATGGGGGAATGGAGTATGGAGACTCTAAGTGGGGATTATATAGTGCCTACTATAGGGATCCATTCCCGCATTGCCTACTAAGCACCACACAGACCTTTCCAGCATGGCAAACTCCGAGATGCGTGCGACGCCCTCTCTGAAGCCTTGAGCTAAACCCGAAACCCTAAACCTCGAACCCGAACCCACTCCAGGTGCCCCCGTGGCCTGACCAAGCCTTCACTCAACCGCTAAGCCCTCAACCCCTACACCCGAAAACCTTTAGCCTGAACTCAGAACCCCTGAACCCCAAACCCCTAAACCCCTGAACTCAGGTACTTGACAAGGTCAGCCATGGCTTCGTGGTCTTCTATGTCTTGCTCCCGGGTTGCAGAAGAGATTAGCTTCCTCGGAGAGGGGGTTCGGGCTTAGGGCTTTTTTGATTGCTGTTATGATGATGATGATGATTATTATTATTCACATTATTATTACTACTATTATGGCTAGGGAGGGTGAGGCTGCAGGTTTGGTAGACGTTTGTAATCTAAGTTGAGTTTTGAGGTCAGACTTAAGATTGATTATATGTTTCTAGGTTAGGGTTTTCGGGGTTTGGGTGCAAGGTTTTTTGTAGGCTAAGCACACAAAAGTTCCCTTTAATTTCTGTGTAGATGTTTATGCCTCCTTTTGGATTCTTCGAGTGCAAGAGATCCAGAACAAGAGCCGCATGACGCTCTACCGGGATAGGGACGTCAGGCAGCGCGTGATAAGCCAAAACCCTAAACTCTAATCGCCTATACTCCCTAAAAGCCGAAGTTTACCCTAAACCCTAACAGCCAAAACTCCCTAAAGCCCTAGACCCTCAACCCAAGCCCTCAACCCCAAACCTCAGCGGCTCCTTTAACTGTAATTAGCGTCCCTGAGAATCGACAATTCGCGAGTTTCTGTGAGTCGACCCTGACCCTTTAAGCTACAACCTAGCTGCACCTGGAAACGTGAATGTCGCCGATTTGACTCCAAACCCTTGGCCCACTGTAGGGTGTAGGCTTTAGAGTTTAGGGTTTTGGCTTCGGCATGCATTGGGCTGCAGGTATATCACCATCGTAGTCTTTGCGCTCATCCGAGTGGCTTATCTGCGTTTCAAGTGCGCGCCCGCCGAGGTCCCTATGCATCTGCTCTGTGTGCCCCCGTAGCTACCAAAACCGGCAGCAGCACCGTAGGGTTGATAGGGTTTAGCATCCCGCGGCCGCCTGCTGACAGTGTAAACAATATCACGATGTGCATTACTCACTACTTAGCGCCTGGTTTTTGGTTACAGCCCACTTTGCCATCACATGACTGCTGAAGCTAATGAAGTGAAATCTGAGACGTGCGTAGACATGAAGTGTGAGCTCTAACCCAACCTCCTTTCATGTGCAAGTACATGTATATCTATAAATATGACTATATATATATATGCACATTCTGTAAATACATATAGTTATGTATATATATATATATACACATACATATGTGTATATGCCAGTTCATTCAATTTTTGTCAGGCCTCGGCAGAGTACAGGTATGTGGACTGAGCACAACAAAGTGTTTGAGCCTTATGCTTCTTCATCCTCATTGACCCTTAGTTGAAGATACTAGCTTAAGCAGTGCCAAAATGGAATCGCCGAGACGAAAGCCATCGGACCAGTACTGCATGGGTGGTTTATTTCGGGCAGATACAATCTTGGGGCATCTCAGGGGCAATTGGTGCAGTCCTTCTTGACTTCCAGCAAGCGATACCGTATTGGTAGTAGCAGGTTAGTAGAAGAGCTGACTAGTCTTGTTTGTGGTATGTGATATCATTCGTGAAGGAATGCCGTGTCATCCTGTCCTGTTGTTTGTTTTGTCCTGCCCTCCGAACTACACTTTTCCGAGAAAGCTTGGTAGAACAAGGCTACGACGGTGCATGTGTGCATATACGATACCACTGCACTCATTGCTGATGCATGATGTGACTCTGTTCGATAAGCTCTATGGCCAGACCAATGAAGATACCATCACATTGACTTGTCAGCCCAGACCCTGTGGTGTAGCAACCGAACCTTGCCTGCCAGTACATCCCGGAACTCTGGAGTTCAGCCCTTACACTGCAAGTAGCCCCAAAGTACCTACAACTGACAGACTTGATGCAATGTGGGCCTGATTCAATACTCGCAGCCCCGAAGTAATGATATTCCGAGAATACGACCTCCGTAAACCCCAAACCCGCAACTTTAGTCAGTTTTTAGGACATGCGGCATGAAAGATGATGATGATAATGAGTATGATTTTGATGATGATGCCAAAAAAGGTCATCACGGCTGTGTTTCTCAAAGACACGCTCGACAGCGCCCACAACGATGCAGAGACATTGGGTCGCAACAGCCCAAACCCCACACCCTCATCCCTTACTAATCCTTGAGCCCTCAACCCGAAACCCCACACCCTGACCTCTGCTCCCTGAGCACCTACTGTGCAGTAGGGATGCCAACTTATGAGGTTTATGCTTGCATGTTGTGTTTCTTCTGTTTGAAGAGGCCTGACCTTGGGCAACCTCCCCCGCCCGTCCGAACACTTCTGACACTCTACAGGACTGTGTAAATATATGCTGGTGTACTCCAAGGGTGCATCACGTATCGCATAGTCTTCTCTTACCCAAGCCGGCCGTAACATGTAAGAAGCCATATCGTCGGTGTTTGAACCCCAGGTTTCCGCATGTTGAGGTATACGGTTGTTGATATAAATCCTGCACTACCTTAAGGACCCTAAACTATGGGAATTATGGTGTATTCCTTATTATGGGTCATGCAGGTGTTATATCATCAACCGTAGTGAGGATTACTTACAGCGTCAGGGGACTCCGTTATCAGGCGATACATAGGATCATTCGTATGCTTGGACTGTCAGTACATTCATATTTTGCCTTGCTTCAAATCCTATCTAAAGCGTGCTTGCTACTTTCACTGGTCCTGTACATAAGACCCTAAACTTCAGTCTTCAAGCTGTAAAAAGCCTAGATTGGAGCCCTTGTCTGCAATTCAAGCAGGATGGTTTGCTAAACCCTGAATCCTTCTCCGTAATCTAGTAAGTAGAGAAATGAATGTAACATGTTTTAACTCAAGAGAATAACAATGTACGTATTTCATGATTGGACTTCAGACGCTGAGTCTTGACTGCGTCCACACGAGACTCGCGAATCTCACCCCTGGAGCCTACAGAACTCATCTGATTCGGGCTCCTTAATATTATGGTTTCCTTATCTTATGAATTTTTGACACTGTAAGTTTTTTGCGGTCCAGGTAGGGTTTGGGAGATGAGGTCTAGGGTTAGGGTTTAGGATGACCGAAGGGCCGTCTGCGACCCAGATAATGCTACCCCAGAGCTCCAGTGACCTAAATAGTAGGTTACTGGGGTACCTAATGCATCGTTAGTAACCTACAATTTAGGTGACCGGAGCCCGAGGGGTAGTGAAGCTTTTGAGACGTCTTGGATTGTTTAAAACGGGTCTTCGAAGCTCATCCTCGAGGCTTCGTATCACCGAAGGGATGCGGAAGAAAGCGGAGTATGCCGCTCCTCCGCAGTGACACCTGCTTCCGGGATCAGGAGTTTGACGACTGTGTACCCTTCTTTAATTACTACGGTTGATATATAAATCCTGCATTACCTTAAGGACCCTAAACTATGGGAATTATGGTATATTCCTTGTTATGAGTAATGCAGGATTTATATCATCAACCGTATGGCCGCTTACGGCCCCTACATTACTGTTGTAGGTTTCTGGCTTTGGTCGCAGATTTGCTTAAGAAGTATACCTTCAGGGTTATTGAGGTTTCAGCGCAGCTCTGACCTCCCGGCTTATGCCAGCAATATGGGAGTTTCCCCAAAAAATTAGGGGTACCTTATTTTGGGGTCCTTATAATAGGGATCCTATCATTTAGAGTACTATACTAGGGTCTCTTAGTTTTGGAAACTCCCATGTAGCTTCCGGGTTTCGCAAGTTTTTCAGATGACTTGGCAGGATCGAAGACTTGCGGCCCATTCAACATCCATGCTGAAATATCTGACAGCTCAGCACGGTAGCGTGCCTTGCTGGAGCTCTTACACTACAGTCACTACAGGGCTACAAGGTACAGCTTCCGAGATGTAGTGCCTGTGCTACATCGCGTACATCTGTCGTGCTTTGGTATAGTTTGTCATATCGTAGCATATGTTCCTGTCTTCCTACTATGCTGAGCTGCCAGGCAGGAGTGCACCCAAGGCCAGTCGTGCATAAACCGTAACCCGTAGCTGAGGGCCCACTGGGCCATCGCCAACCATGTTTGGGGGTTTACCCGCCTGGTTACTTTTTAAACCAACCCTAGCCCCTACATTTAACCCTGAGGCCCCAAACCCTTAAACCCCATTTCAAAGCCCTTTGGCTGCAGCCGTGTCTTCAGTGTTTTGATTTATGACAACAGCACCGTCTCCCTGTGTGGGTATGCATAAACAAAGAGAGTCGTGGAGCACTCGAAAGGAGTTAAATTCAAGCCTGAACCCTAAACCCTGAAGAGCCGTGCTTCGCGAGACCTAAGTGCACACTCCGCCAAGCCACGGAACGATTTCCACCCAGGCTTGAAAGGTGACCCCTTCCCAAAGGGCCCTAAGTACTTTAAGGGTTCCTTTAAGGGTGTTAGTTATACGTGGAATACCTGCACAAAGGACAGTAGTAATTCTACTACTTTGTAGTAGATAGGTATTCAGGACCCTTTGGGTTTATTTAGCATCTCAGGCTACGGCTGAGGTGCAATGCATACGTTTCCCGAACTCTACACTACACCCTCTACACCCTGTCCACAAAGCCTACACGCAGAACCTTCTTTAATCGACTGAGGTCGAAAAGCTGGAGACAATCTTCAAAGCTATAGATGAGTCCGGCGACGGCATGATTACCGAGGCATAGAGCTTATGAAAGAGTTACTTAAACGAAGCAGTTTCGGGGTTTAGGGGTTTAGGGGTTTAGGGTTTAGGGGTTTAGGATGGGGTTTAGGGTTTAGGTTCTGGCTACCGACTCAATGTAAACGACGTGAGACCAACCATTCACTTCACTTGCTGGCGTTGGTTTCGTGATATTCCTCGTAACGAGGGGCGAGTGTCAATTGTTTAGGCCTGCATACACATGTGTTGGACATGCTTGTTCAGGGGCTTCTAAGCGCTGATCCATCGCAAACCCGTTCAAACCTGTGCTGGAACCCTGGGTACCTTAACCTCCCGACTAGATGGCCCCGGGTTGCGAGATGCCGTGCTGACTACTGTGTTGAAGTGGAAGACGGCAATCTCCGAGATGACATCAACGCACTGGGTTGGCACAGAGATCCTTAAGCGCTAGCTTCGCGCACGCTTTGCTGAAGGTCTCGTCACATTTCAACCCACAAACCACGAGAGTGCGCTCTGTCACTTGGGCTACTGGTTGTGAACCTCCAGGAAGGTCATGCATTTAAGGATTGAGCAAATGGGCAAGATCATGATTCGCCTTGGCATGATGTTGAGAAAGTCTTTGTTGAAAGACCTAATGCTGTCGTCGTGCTTCTGATGGTATGATCCGGGCAAGCAGCCTTATTTTCACCGCTATCTTGGTACTGTGGCAAGGCCAACATTCAAGAGTGTTTGTGTGCAAGGAGTATGGTCATGACCTGTCTGGTTTTCTTTTTGCTTCATGACTCACGAACCTATAACATTCGCAGCCTTAATCCACCTTTGTCGCTCTGGGAAACAGAAGTCTTGTCTTTTGGTCTTGGCTGATGAGTACGCGCACAGCCGCACAGCCGTTGCATTTAAATCTAACCCCTAAAACCCTGCAATCCCTTCCCCCTAATAGTAAACGGGGGGGTGGGCACCCCCTCCCCCAATAGAAATTCGGAAAACGTTTCTTTTGATAGGGGGTAATGATTTTTATCTCGACTGTCACTTTTGAGGGTCGTGCTCTTGCTCCTGTTCTAGCTCCTGTCTCCTGTTTCCGCGCTTGCTTTTGCTCCAACTTGTGCTGCGGCTCTTGCGCCTGCTGTTGCTCTTGCTGTTGCTCCTGCTCTTGCTCTTCCTCCCGCTCTTGCTTTTGCCTTGCTCTTGCTGATGCTCCGGCTCTTGCTCTAACTCCTGCTCTTGCTCATGCACTCGCTCTTACTGTGCTTTAAGGGTATTTGGAGCCTCGAAACCGAACCCCCCCCTAATTCAGAATAGGTTTTTAAAAGGGCAGGGATGATTTCGAGCGGATTCACTTCGATATAAAAGGGGAAAGGGACTAAGCCCCAACTAAATATTAAACCTTGTAACCCCCAGAACCCGAAAACCTAAACCAGAGCCTCAAGGACCCTGAAGCCTAAACCCTAACCTCTGTGAGAGTTTCTCGACTGCCAAGACCCCCGGCCTTGTTTTTTCTTGGAGGGGGCTGAGGGGACTTTTGGGCTTCCCGGGGTGTCATGCTAAAGGGCCCAAGGGTTTAGGGTTCTAGGTGCCAGGGTTCAGGGCTTTCTGAGCCAATTCCGATGGAAATCTGAAGGTAACCCGATGTAAGGGCTGCCAAACTTCTCAATATCCTGGATATCCGACACAACTGGTTTCGGGGTTTAGGGGTTTGGGGTATAGTACTTTGGATTATTTGGGGTTTCTGAAGCTCGGGTTTGCGGCCGCCTTGTCGCAGGAGCGTCTATCTTTCATCCTGGAGAACCCCAAGGCATCGCGTGCCGACTTGGGCATAACGTCCACAAGGGAAGTAGAGTTTCTTACCCTTAGGCCCTAAGGACTCATATTTTAAGGCTTTTGGGCCCAAAGATCATACTATATAAGGCTGTTGGGCTATTTTGTTCCTTAGGGTTAGTGTGTTAGGACCTCTTGTTGCACGTCCATGCACTTGACATGTGAATGCGCATGACGTATGTGAAAAACTGTTTGTACTTACAGTAAGCCCAAAAGTTGGAAACCCAATAGCCTCAATCCTGAAGAGTAATGTGTATGGAATCCCAGCACTATTTGACCTTCATCAGGTTTCCAACTTTTTGGTGTCTCCTATATGCCTCTTATCTACACATGTGTATATATATATAATATGGTTATATATGTATATACAGATAGACAGAGAATAGACAGAGAAAGCGAGAGAGAGAGAGAGAGAGAGAGAGAGAGAGAGAGATGGAGAGAGGGAGCGAGAGAGAGAGAGAGGGTACACACAAGTCACAAGCAATCAGCCCTGCAAGAAACTATATGTAAGCATACGCTACCCTGGTGCATATCATGTACGTGCGCACATGCAGATTCCATATCACAACTCTTTTTATCGACTAGTTCTGCCTGTGGCCAGCAGACGGAAGCGGACAGACCGAGAGAGAGAGAGAGAGAGAGATACGAACTACATACATACATATACACGGAAACTCAGACGGATAATGCTAGCAGCCAAGACCTAAGCGATTTTTCTCGGACTGCAATTGGAAGCTCTTCAGGAAGATTGGGTTTATGGTGAAGTGTTAAATGTTGCAGTTTCCAATTTAGGGTGCTTTCGACGGGTTGTTTTCTGCTCGGCAGGATGGTATTCCCACTCAAGCGAGTTTGCCCCTACGTCCTAACGTAACATCCCAGTGCGCTGGTCTTTTTCAACTCGTGCGTAACCATGGGGGCAGTCGGATGTAAAACTGTGAAACTGGAGTTTTGCCCTGCAAGTTCAAGCTTGCACTAAGTCACTAAGCCCAAAGAAGCAACAGGATACCTCGCACAGTACACCCGACTCCAAGAGAGAGACAGACAGAAATTACATAGACAAAGAGAGATACAGAGAGATGCAGCCCCGTCTTGAAACACCGTGCTTGTGCATTGTAATCTCGGCAGAAATCCTTCAACTTAGACATTGGAAGTTACCCGACTCACGGGCACTGTGGTCTAGCTTTAGTGGCTTTAGTGGTTTAAGATGTGCCATGTGGGGCTCTTGGGTTTTGAACCTGTGCAGTCAAGCCTAAAACAAACCCACCCCCCTCATTCCCAAGCCTTAACCCCAAACCCAAACCCGAAGAAACAAGCACGCGGCTGGGCGAGAGGCTTAAGAATTGGGGCCCTCAGAACCCTATAAGCCAGACAAGACATAGAAACCTCTGAAAAGGAGCATATCATGGTAGGACGGGAGGGACTTGGATCTTCGGAAAGAGCCCGAAACCCTAAAGCCCTGAACTCATCACCTTCAGGTCAAGGCCTATTTCCAGACCTTGGACTTGGACGTGCATGCCACTTGGACAATTTAGGGCTTCAGGGTTGAGGGCTTCAGGTTTTGTGAGCTTTGTACAGGTATGTGTAGGGGTTGAAAGGCTTCTACGAAAGTACATCCAAGTATCTATCATTCTCATACTCCTCCCAAATACTCCCCAAACCTATTAGCCTAACCCTGGGAAACTGTGCTCAAGGTGATTCCCAAACCCTTTCTTCCGCAACATTGAAGAGAACGGAACCGTGCCTCGAAGTCCCAAGATAGCTTTAACAGCCCATGCGGCTGGATGTTGTAGATGAGAGTGGTAGGCTCTGAATCTAGGCATTGCCCAAACTGTACACTTGTTTTAGACTTTACATCCTAAAGCCTAGACACTAAAACTCAAAAATCCCCAGCTCTTCAACCCTAAAGCCTAGATTTCCTAGACCCCTAGACCTCGAAGACTGTAGTAGCTAGCCTCCTGGGAGCTGCTGGCCTCATCGCAACGGAGCTCGGCACATAAAAGAAACTGAAGATCATCCTCGGAGGATGCACAGTGCTAAGCTCCTCACAAACCTAAAACCCCAACAGCCTAAATCTTAAATTCTATACCCCTATAAATCCTAAACCCTAAAATCCCAAAAGCCTTAATCCCCGAGACCGACTGAAAAGGAGAGTGCGGCCTTATTTCGAATTTTGGACGATGGCGATGGAGAGTGCACCCTCGACGAGTTCATTGGAGGAATCCTTCGATGCAAAGGCTGGGTTTAGGGTTCAGGGTTTAGGGCTCTTGTTAGCCCAAAGGGTCCAAAGTACCAAAATAGTAGAATGTAGGGTTTCTATGTTAGGAATTACCATTATGATATGGGGAAGTATTCCCCATAACAGTACCTAGGACCCTTTGGGTAGGGAACTAAAATTTAGTTTCCATAATAGGGGTCTAGAATAAACAATATGGTTTCGTAGGTTCGTTTTGTATCGACAGGAGTTTAATTTAAACTACCATAATAGAGGGGTTTATAGTACGCATTATGGGTATCTTACTATGGTAACATATATTGAATCCCTCAACAAGAACCCCGAAGGCCTCATTGTAGGTTTATTTTGTTTCGGCTGTTTGGGGTTCAAGGTTGAGGGTGGGTTTAGGGTTTAGGGTGGGTTCAGGGCTTGGGGGTGTTTGGTGCTTGAGGTTAACAGTTTGGGGTGAAGGGTTTGGGTCGATGGTGTGGGTTTTAGCTTTGGGAACTCGCCTGAAGCTTTGCTTTTTAGGCTTGTGGGTTAGAGTTTCAGGGTTCCGGGTGTAGAGGTTACTGGCAGAATTTCCTGGGGCTTCAATTGAGTAACGAGGGCTATAAATCAGGTAAGCGCGTACTTATAACTCCAATTAGGGTACCTATAACCTTACCACATAACTCCCAAGATCTTGCAAGTACTGTCAAAGAATCTTGATGAGTCAATCTTTGGCTAGTTCTCACCATTGGTTTCCTGTGTATCAACCGTCTTATAGGGGTGCCATACTATCCCGGGGACCTAAAAGGGACCCTGATTCAGAGACTACCTGGATGTTGGGTGTTGCTGCCTGCCGACATTGGGGCTTGAGGTATCGGGGGTCGGTTAAGGGTTTTAGGGTTTATACTGCAGTCACTATATTGGTTGTTTGTCATGTCCATGCTGCACAGGTTTGCAGTCGCATGGGTACCATATTCCCAAAGTGTTCAATGTATAAGAACAGACAGGTTGTGTGGTTTTGAGGGCGTGTTCTTCGAGGTTCCCCGAGCTAGGTTTCAAGTGTGACCTCAGCACGCTCAACTGAACACCTAACACACACGATCAAACGCTCACAGCACGCCGCGGCCCTTGCCCCAACTTTGCGATCCCGCGTTGCCGGAGTTTAAAAGCAGAGCCTTCAATGTGGCGTGTTGTAACTAGCTTACATGGAAGCGAGGCACAAACGACAGTCTACAGTAAGCAACAGAAGCGATAAGCCCCAATGAGGAAAACCATAACCCCTAAACTCCTAAACCCTTAGCTTGAAGGTTTGGAGCTGTCAGCCTTGGCCCTTGGAAGAAAAATGCCTCGGGAGAGGAACCCTAAATGCAATGTCAGACGGCCGGATATCTGCAGACGTTCCCAACCGGGACCATGACCGATCTACCGACAAAACGAAGGCAGGATCTCTGATCCTTCAAGCCGGAACCACGAAAACCCGGCAGGGTGCCAGATCCTTCTTGTGCAGATGTTTAGGGTTAAAGGGTTTAATAAGAGTTTTGGGCAGATTTTTCAACAATACAGCACATGAGGCACAGTTTCTCACATGATGTTCGCGAATACGCTTTGGCCGGAAATCTTGTTGAGTTGTATAGGCATAGAGTGCATACAGGAAGGTATACATGTCAGCGTAAGCATGTTCTGAATGTAGGACATTTTTGCTTGAATGTGGGTTGAAACGTGTTAAGGCAGCTTAAAGCATCACAAGTACTTGTGGCAGAACTGTCTTGACAGGTCCGGCGAGGGCCATCGACCAGGTGGCATTGCAGGCGGATATGAAACAGCTGGACAAGAAGGTGCATCTAGGGCTCTTGGCTTTTTAGTGTTTTTGGCTTCAGGGTCTACGGACGCAATCTGTTCGCTGCAATGTGAGGGTGTGCAGTGCAGAGGCCTGTTGAAGCACATGGAGAGAAAGACAGGAAAAAAGAAAGCAAGAGACACGGAGAGAGACAGGAGAGACAGAGAAAACACACAAAAAGGAGAGAGAGAGAGAGAGAGACAGAGAGACAGAGAGACAGACAGACACACACACGACTAGACCCACACAGCTTTCGGATACAAAGACCTGAACATAACCATGTGCATACACATAGAGAGTGAGAGACACATGTACTTGCTGCGGCTGTAACTGCATTTTTGCTGACTGATGTTGCTGATCCGTCTGATACGATCGTTAGTGGCATTGGTGTGTCGATAATGGTAGTTCTTATAGCTACTGGAACCGATCTTTCTTGAAATGTCTGCCAACAGTACGGGGTACCACCACCATTTGGCAAGCTACATGGCGAAGGTTGCGAGCTGTCCTGTTTTGTCATGATAACCAAGTGTTTCCGTCGCGGCACTGCTCCTAATTGCAATTCCAAGTCTACGAACAGTTAAGATGCTACCAAGCATGCCAACAGCCTCAATTCCAGCAATTCTTGAACTGTTGGTAAGATTACCAATGAAATGCGAGTACTGGCACTGCCAGCACCACGAAAAGGCCTGCAGCGCAAGAACTACTGAGCAGTACTTTTTCGACTACTACGTCAGTGTTTCGTCAGACGGATGATGTTCATACTGCCAGCTTGCCTCATAATGTTCATCCTTTTGAACTTCCATAGTCAGTGTGCATACAGTGCTGCTATATCGAAGTGTTACGCCATTTTGCCACGACGCTAATTCTGCTGCTGATATTGCAACGATAAATACAGTGTGGCTGCCATCTCTCGCACTATTCTGCGAATGCAAGTGACCTGACTTTCCAACTGCCCGATAAACATGTCTAGCTCCGACACTCCAGCACCTACTGCCGTAGGATAAATAGCTTGCTACCACTGTGATGGTGGTATAATCGTTTGCATCATGTCTTTCAGTCTCACACATACTGCATTGGCTTCTTCATATGGTGTTGTTTGATAATGATAATGTGTACAACGTTTCTGAGCCTGTAGTTACTGAAACAGAAGGTGGTGGGCTTGAAAATCAGACTATATGCAGTAAATAGGGGGCAAGCAACGATATACAAGTATGCGCACATACTAGTGAGGGATACCTCATAGCTCCAAGCCCGAACTACAGCCCGTGCCTGACTCGTTCCCGCTGCTTGTTAGGTGTACTATAGGGGCCTAAATAATCACCTAGATACTATTCTTGTTTTTTTTGGGGGGGAGGGGGTTCTTATTATGATTATTGTACAATATACCCCAAAACCCCATTAGAGTTATTAAGGCTCCTACATTACCTGCCAGGTCTCGAAGATCATGAAAGCAATGTGCGATGCCGGATGGGCACATCACCTCAGTTCTGTTCCTGGCTCCGAGGCCTTACCCTTCGAAGTGTGGTGGCTGAGCCTTTCGGGTTTAGAGGTTTATAGGGTTTAGGAGTTTATAGGGTTCAAGGAACCGTTAACGACGTTTTTGCGGATTCTCTTCAGCGTCCCACTGCAGTGATCTTCTGGGCTTCACTTGACATTGTTTTTTGTGAGCTTGTCGGATCGATGGAACGCGAGCCGAGTGTTTCTGGCATCCGGCGTCGGGGGGTCGGGGATAAGGCTGAAGAGCCCCGAACTGCAGTGTCCATCGGATTCCGAGAAGAAGGGTAGCTGAGGTGATGAAACGGTGAGACTGCTCTTCGAGTTTATTGCCTAAATTCCAGGGTTGAGAGTTCCGAGATGCTCCAAGGCTTTAGGAAGATCGGGTTGCAACTTCGTTTTGAGTCTGATGCGGGCTTGCAGCTTTCGCAAGCGATGCTTGGTGACCCAAGCTAGGAGTAAGAATTGAAGGGCTTAGGGTTCAGGGTTTAGGGTTATTTAAGACCCGGCATCAACCACTGCAGAAGGCACCAGCAATCTGCAATATCTCCCTACTCACACATCTCTCACGCACCGCGCAGGGACTGCCATCGAAGACGGGAAGCAATGACCAGATGTCGTATCCGGTTTCGAAGCAGTGAGGGCCCAAGTGAGATGGGATTAAGCTTTGCGGTTTCGATTGGGACGTTGAAGTCTGCATAGTAGTTGGTCTGTTTGGTTGCCCTTTTTCCGCCATAACCCTAAACCCTAAATCCCAAGCCCTAAGTTCACTATTCAACAACTGGAGTTGCCATGGAGACTGGAGTTCGATAGAGGGAACTCCAGAAAGTTGGAATATGGAATAATGGCAGGATCCCCTATAATTTACCTTAAAGGGATTTTGATAATGATATTCCAACTTTCTGGCTTCTACTGTTCAGCCTAAACCCTAAACCCTAACCCCTAAACCCCTAAACGCCTAAACTTCGATGGAGGGTCAGCGCGGCGTAAAACCAACTTTTCAGGCCTGGAGCTGCAATACGGTTTCCCTAAAGCGAACTCCAGAAAGTTGGTTGGAATATGGTTTCAGGGTACGATACCTTGCAATTTACCATAAAGGGTTTAGGATAATCATATTCCAACTTTCTGGCTTTTACTTTAAGGGTCCAAGTACCCAAATACCAGGGTTTCAAGGTCCAAAAACCATTCAGAGTATGGATTTTGGGGCCTAAAACCCTACTATGTGGGTACTTGGACCCTCTGGGTTTAGGGCTTACCTAGAGACTCCAATATCCCTCAATTAAGGAATGTACCTTGAAGTATACTGGGGATCCTACCATAATTTTCAGTATATTGCGTAATTAAGGGATAATGGAGCTGCAATACGGCTTATCGTTGAGACTTTCTCCGTAGTCGTAGTAATATTGAAAGGTTGGTTGAAATAAAGGATTTCGGGATCCAAATTAGAGTGATACTGCGGCATGCTCAGCATGCCCCTTGCGGCTCCCCATTATACTACGCCGAGAGGCAGTCAGGAGTTGCCAGTAATCCCGTTTTCGAACATCCGAAACGCTTGGGCCATGTTTGAGACATTAACTCCTAGCCGCTGCTGTGGTCATGCAAGGTTCAGAGTTGTCAGAAATGTAAAGTTAGTGTCGCTTGTCGATCTGATGGAAGATGGCTGCAGGTGAGGTGTCCTTCAGGGGTTAAGGTTAGGGGCGCAGGGTTTTTGTGTACTGGGTTAAGGGCTCACGGATGGTTTCGTCACAGGTCTCAAGGCGACATAAGGTGCTAGCATGGTCCATACTACTATTACTTCTATTACTATTTCTATACTATTACTACTGTGATTATTATTACTACTATTAGTACTACTATATTACGAACAGAGCGTTTGAAAAAGTACTCGGTTTTCTGTTTTCATTTCAAGCTAATTGGTGCACTGAAATTGCTTCCATGCCGAGAGACCTGAAGCTGGGTGGCGTTGATCTCTAGGACCTAGAGTAGGCCCTTATTCCCTTTTTTCGGGTTCAGGTTCCCTTATAAGCCCCTGTAAACCAAAAAGGGCACCCTTTTTATTCCTAGGTTACTCTTGGGTCTAGATCTTATGAGAACTTTGAAGTTGCCTTTTTGCCCGTAGCAGCGGCTTAGGGATATTCACCCATTACACTCTACCAGCCTTACCCTACACTTGACCCTCTCCCGCCTAAGCCCTAACCTAAATCCTACAGAGGTAGATAGACTCTACACCCTAGCCCTAGGCCCTGTAACCTTATAGACCCCGAGCAAGGCCTACCGGAACTCAAAGTGTCCCACCAGCTTCTGCAACCCGGCGCAACTGTGGGTCAGAACCCTTCCTTGTGGTCTAGGCCTAGGCTTTATATGTATGATGAGGTACTACATGAAGCTCGGCAAGTTTCGCAAAGGTCATAGTAGAAGGTCTTGTCTGATGCTTTAAAGGCGAGCTTCATTTGGGCACAAGGATTTGTCGAGATGGGCTGCGAATGGCATACGAACGATAGCGAAGACACAACTAGGGTTTGGGATTGTCCCCGCATGAGGATTGTGTGTTTGTGTGTGTGTGTGTGTGTGTCACAAGTGTTTTCGAAGGTTTGGTTGAGGGAATGCAGTGTTTCCCAGCATCCTGTCCAGGGAATTGTACCCTGAACCCAAAACCATAATGGAGTGGCCTGCTTAATTAGAAAGGATATCTCCGGTCATCTGCCTGCCTGCCTGCCTGTATATGTACGCGTACGTACGTAGGTACGTGCACATGCATGAATGCATGCATGCACAGAGGTAGGTATCTATGTGTGTATGAGACTGTGTGGATGTTTTGAAATGTGTATATATATATACATGTATAAATATATATATATATAAATAACTATATAAATATATATATATATATATATATATATATATAAATATATATTTTTAAGCATATTTTTATATATATATATATATATATGTGTGTGTGTGTTTGCGCTCACACGGATTATACTATACATCACAGCCATAGCATGATTTCCAGCACCCTATTAGGAGACCTTCAACCGTGAATCTAAGTCTTGATTTGCTACATACTGTTTAAGGTTAATTGCGCGCATGGGTTCTGCTTGAAATCTCTTAATTCAGAGGGGTCGCTACACATTTTTGTATCTTCTCCGCGTTTTGGCTTAGCTCTCAGGTACTACAGGGTTGCTTTGCTTTCTATCTATACGTATATATATATATACATATATGTGCATGTACCAGTGTATATGCAAGTTGAAGAGATGTGTTGGCGGCCAAGTCTGAGATGGACATCGTGGAATCGTTTTACTTTCTGTTTGCGACGGGCTGCGGATGGGCGATGAGAGGGAAGTGAATGTGTATATATATATATAGATATACATATATATATATAATGTCTTCATGTATGTATGCATTTGTGTATGTATGTATGTATGTATGCATGTATGCATGTTTGTATTTGTGTGTGATATGTAATATGTATATATATATATACACATATATATATATACGTATATATGTATACATAGGTATACATACATGTTTTTTATGTCCAATATTTGATACATCTGTGCATTGCGCTGGTTCTTTATCTCATGTTTTGTTTATTAAGTTAGATATATGTTTGAAGAAGACTTGACGATTGTATTCCCCAGAAGTTGGGGTCCTGACGGTTGGTCTGTCCTACAACGACTACTGACAGCATCTGCCAAGATGTCTATCTACAGCAGTGCAAGAGCTCTTGATGAGGTGCAAAACTTAGGGGCTTCCGGGGCCTTAACCCCCCAGACCTTCGAATATCCCGTAATTACGGAGCATATCTTAAATTGTCGTAGCATCCCTAATAGGAATTATAAGGCAAGTCCCTCATTCAAGGGATATTGGAAGGTCTGGGCCCACACCGTTAGCCGCTTAAGGTAAAAGCCAGAAAGTTGGAATATAATTATCCTAACCCTTCTATGGTAAATTATAGGGTATCCTACCATGAAACCATATTCCAACTTTCTGGAGTTTCCTATAGCCCTTGGGGTTGCGAAGTTCAGGGTCTCGCGAGGTAGAATCGCCAGGAGCACTTAGTCCCAGACCTTCCAAAACCCCTTGATTAAGGTATATGTCAAAGAAGAAAAAGAAGATGGAGAAGAAGAGAGAAGAGAAAAGAGAATCCCCGGACCCTGGCGCAGCACAGTAGGATGTCTATGGGCGAGACTGCTGCGCTCCCGTGACCATGCGATGAGCACCAAGTAAATCACGCTAGGCTGTGGCCTGAGGCTCTGCAGTGTCCACGAACAGTGATTGTTAGCTGTAGCCCGTCCTAGCAGCATGCGTCGAAGGCCGCGCGCAGAGCGCGAGCCCTTGATGACCGCCGAGCAGTGGGAGCGCGTGTGGCGGCCACTGTTGCGGCACTGCGCGCTGTTGGCGCAGCCGCGCCGAGAAGCCTCCGAGCGGCTGTTGCGCGTGGCGCGGCTGCGGCGGCAACAACGCCTACCCGAAGAAGCCTGGCGGCGGGACCATCCAGCAGCAGAGGCGCTGCAGACGTGGACCTTACAGGAGCAGCAGGCTGGAGAAGCACCTAGTATACTGGGTCGCCGTTTTGCCACAGTGTAGCTCTGTTCACGCATAAGCATACAAGGCACAATCCCTCTAGGTCCGAGACTGGCTGCGGTGGGGTGCCTGGGGCCACTGCCACCGCTGCCATGCCTTCTATGCGCGCCGCATGGTGGAAGCAGAAATCTTGAACCCAAGCAGCGTCGCCGTCAAGGTGGCCGACCCATGCCCGCAGTGCAGGGGACGAGCAATCAACCGATATGACGCTCCCACAGCCGCAGAGGTCCCGGCAGCACTGCGACACTTGGAGGTCGGCGTGCGAGAAGTTCTGCGGCCCTTTGTTTTATCACAAGGGGAACCGGCAATCCATGCCCAGGGATACCGACGCCGGGACACCTTGACGGCGCTCAGCTGGAAACGCCAGCCGGTTGCTGAAGCCATTGCTGCTCTGCCCCCTCTGCAACGGGAGCGCTCGACTTCCTGCAAGGCGCACACGGCTGCAGCCGTAGCAGCAGTAGTCATGGGGCACGGTCTGACGTAGCTCTCTATCTGTCTAAGGAGGATGGGTTTTGGACTAGGCCCAGCGTGAGCCAGTCTTCTGCTACGTGTCTGCCGGACAGGCTGCCCGGAGAGCCCTTATGGGGCTTGGCTGGAAGCGCATGCGCAAGCTCTGCGCCGTGCTCTACCAGACGACACGCTGCGACTCAGCCTGGCAGCCATTCTGGAGCCGTACATGGAGGCAGCCCTGTGGCCTGACCTCTACTGGAAGAAGGCGCTCTGTGAGAGTAGCATGTACGCTCCGGCCAATTGGACACCATTTCAACGACGACGCAGCAGCGTGGAGAACAGCAGCCGAGAGTCCTGCAAGCAACACTTTGTCGCGAAACTCCTCAGCGGCATCGCGGACTACAGCATGGACTTCTCTCTGCTGCAATTTCAATTCGATCGCCACGTCCTGCGTACTTTAGCCAGCTCTCAGCAGGAGCAGCACAGCACGCTCCAGGCCGGACTTCGGGAGGGTGGGCGGGTGGAAGTGGAAAGGGTAAGAGAACGTTCCAGCCAACCTAGCGACAAGGAACTACCTGCAAAGCTCATGATGTCCACTCCTTCCTGGTGTTTTCCGTCTGTCTCCTCAGGCCAATGAACATCGGCACTGGACCCCACAATACTGGCACCGGCAGCATTTGTATGTGCAAGACGTTGCTCGGCAACTGGGACCTCCACATCTCTTCCTTACAATTGCCCCGTGGGAGTGGGACTTTCCGGTGCCGGCGTGGCTGGAGCGGCTGCGCGACATGACGAAGCTCGGCCCCACACAACTGGCCGCCCCGGAATGTCTGGCCATTGCCCACGCGCTGCGGGAGTTCTGCACTGTTTTTTTAGCTGGTTTCGGCCCTATAAGCACCAGTGGAAGAGGAATGTCTTCAGCGACAAGGCCAGGCAAGGAACAGGTAGGAGAGTCCACGTAGGGATTGGGCTACAAGCTGTTTTACATGATGCAAGCCCGCAGGTACAGGGAGGCAATACAACGTCCTGGCATATGTGGGCCGTCTGGAATTTCAAGAAGGCGGCAAGGAACATACCTACGGCAAAGGCCGCGGCTCGGTGCACTGCCACCTGGTGTTCTGGCTGAAGAACTTCCCCCACTCCTGGCTGCAACGCTACCTCTGCGCAGAGCTGCCGGACAACGATGCTGAACTAAGTACCTTGGCGCTGAAAGTTCAGCGCGGTATTGGCGGGGAGGCATGCCGGGCGCCCGTGCGAGAAGAAGCCACAGCGTGCAGCTATATGACACTGTGCAAGGCCGCTGGCTGCTACATCTGCGGCATACTGCAGCCTTCGCGCACGAGCGGCTAAGGCCCTTCCTCAAGCCCGTGCTGCGCGTCCTGCGGTGTCACTCGGACGCACAGTGGTGGGATGCCCGCGGCCAACTTCTGCGCTACTGCGTCGGGTATGTTCTCAAGTATGCAGAACGGCCCGACGCAGTAGATCGCTGCGGCGAAAACGGTGGCTTCCTCGCGGCGGTGGCCTGGCTCCGCAACTGGCGAGCAGGCGAGGCCGAAATGGCCATGGTCCTGGGCCGCGAGCCGATGGTCTTCTCCAACTTTGTCGGCAAGGAGTACAGCCCACGCTTCTATGGCGAGGAAGCCGACGAGGCGCTGCAACTCTATCGGCAGCGACCGGCCACGGAGGAAAACGCCACCTTGCTCGAATGTCCGCGGCACCACACTGTCACAGGATCCCTCGGCGATCACACGGCCAGAGCCACAAGGCGAACCCAGCGCACGTTGGTCGCCGTCGGTGTCCGCTACAAACCACTCAGGATCCTAATCTAATTTAAGGTATATTCCTTAATTAATGGGTTTTGGAAGGTCTGGGTGTTTAGGGTGTTTTAGGCCTTAGGCTTAGGGCTTTCAGGGTTTAGGGCAATCCCACCGTGACCGAGTAGGGTGGCCTTGACACCTGAAAGGAGGTTTCGTGCTAAATGCAACTATAAGTAGATGAAGAAATCGAAGGGAAGAGCCTTAATTAGGGATCATCTGGCCCCTCTCTACTCCCATGACCGATTTTCTGCAGGGTCCGCATGAAGTTGCTATTAGGGTTTATAGCATCAACCTACAAAAAGCGTAGGCCTATGGTAGCTTGAAAAGGTAAGCCCCAAACCCTCGGCCCTAAAGCTTGAGTAACACTAAAAGGTTTGGGAAATCTTGAAGCCCAAACCCAATAAACCCTACTAGCTGTATAAACCCTATAAACCCCAAACCCAGTTTGGGCTTCGCAGCTATGCTCAGGCGATAAGTTCGGCTTCCTTCTCGGGATATCACAACGCAATCCACTACAACGAGGCAAGGTTAAGCACAGAGAGCCTAACAGTGCAGGCCCCTTAAGGGTTAAGGTTCTAGGGTTGAGGGCTGAACCTTTGCATTCCGTGTATTCAATCCTACTTTGGGATCCACGTTTGCGGAAGCACCTACTTTGGGTATTGGCAACAATTCGGATAGGGTTAGAAACAGTGTTATTAGGGTTTAGGGTGACAGCGGACTACAACGAGGCCCGCGAAGGCCGCGACCCTAAGGTGCGCGGTGTAGCAATAGTCAACCCTAAACCCTAAACCCTAAAACCTCAACCTTTAGGGTTTAGGGGTTTAGGGTTTAGGGCAACATACAAAAGGTAGGCTTTCTGAACAGATAGATACGGACTTCACTGGTTCGGTTTGGCTGCCCTGTTCTACGACTCATTTATGACTAATTGCTTGGCCTGCATCGGACTTCTTGCTATAGCATGGTTTTAGTTTTCCACTGCATGAGCCCGACACACACACACACACACACACTCCCTCACATCCGTGCGAGCGCACGTGCGCCACAGGCACACCATGGCACACCGCTCAGTGGCTAAGCTTTTCTCGAAGTTGAGGTGCTTATAGTCTGCATGTCTTCAGAAGAACGCTATCACAAACACTACCAGTGCGCATACAGAAACAATAGTGGTGAACCACTTGATCTCGTCATGCTCGCTAGCACATGCCATGGTAGTGTTTGTCTGTTGAATACGATAATCGCAAATGAGGTTGATGATTGTTGGGAATGGTCATGGCCTTTAAGATAGTGGTAACGTCAGTGATGTCAATATTGTTGGCGGTTGGTGTCGGTGATGGGGATGATGGAGCAGGTTGCGGTTGTCGTTGGTTGTTGTTAGCACCTTCTTCACGCGCCTTCCAGGCTCCTGCCGGCTGGCAACGACAGGTGCGAGGGTGGAAGCAGTCGAAGAACCTACTAAATCACAAGCAGCATTGTTGTTGTAAACTTCGAACCCCAACCATGCAATGTGTCGCGCAAGCAAAACCTCTTCAAGGATGATTATCCGAGTATAGCTACAAGTAACCAAAACATGAGTGAGAAAACAGGAACACCCACAATCGGCCGCATGGGCGAATCCTCACTGCTGGAAACTAGAAGCCCCAAATCGAAAGCCTCACCACTGAATCCGAACTTACAAGCTAAACGTTGAACATAGTCCCAATGCATTGTAATGTCATGCATGTACGGGTATGTGTGTGTGTGTGAGTGTGTGTGTGTGTGTCTATGTGCACTGTACACGTACATGTACATGTATGTCGTGTCTATGTTTATGAGGGAGTGTGAGTGTGCATGTATATATGTACCTATGCGCCTGTGCATTAGTTTATGTATATGTAATGTATGCGTACTTGTTTATATGAATGAACACATGCTTACGTATGTATATATATAGATAAATGTAAAGTTGATATATATATATATATATATATGTACATATATTCATGTACAGGCACACAGACACACACATAGAGTCATGCTTATGTTAATGTGTATATGTGAGTTTATGTGTCTGTATGCATGAATGTATATGTATGTCTGTACGTAGGCATGCGTGCATGCCCGGAGATTTGTGCAGCGTGCAGCGGCATGTTTAGAGGTACAGTTGCGTGTTGAGACAGATGCCGATGGGGACGGACGCGGAAAGACGGGCAGATGGCTGGATCGAGAGGTAGCCTCAAAGACAGCCAGATGGACAGACGCATGCAACCATGCATGAGTTATTCATGCTCTGTTCGCACACGTGTAGATAAATACAGCCGTATTTGCACATGTTTGCATGCACACGAGCACACACACACAGACACACACACACACACACACACACACACACACGCATACACACGCATACACACACATACACACACACACACACACACACCTGCACACACACACACATGCACACACACACACACACACACACAGGTGCGGACACCTCTGTGGATTTTTTACGTTGTGCTGTTTTTCGTTAGGTTTTGGGTTCGAAGGGCCTAAGCTCGATGAATGCTTGAACCAGCAAGCACGCATATAGTCTAATTTGTGCTTTTCTTTCTTGGTTGCACTGCTCTTGATAGTTTTAAGTTGTCTTTGCTGCAGGAGTCCGGCAGAAAGAGACGAGCGTCACAGGCTGCACAAATGCTTCCGGGAAGCATCTTGATGACGAGCCCTAGACCCAAGGACACGGGAAAGTTTCGAGGAAGTCGGACTCCAGGGACCTACCAGGAGTTCCGTCAGAACACAGGAACCCTCACCCCCAAGAGATAATGAAGTCCGACTTCAAGTCTTTATTGTTCTCGTTTATAACCCATGCATACACCGCACAGCCTGCTACATCAGCGCATCCTGGTCCGTGAAGGCACTGCAAGCCATACAAGCCTTACGAGCCCCGTAGTCCTTATGTTGTTATATGCCCTATCATCAAGAACCAAAAGGCCACCCAAGTATAACTTGTGTGTGGTATATCCCTACCTTATTAGCTTACTTCTTGGGCGGATTGTGGGATATCCCAACCTTGTAGATGTTATTTAAGGTGATTTTTTGGGGGGGTCCCTAGGTAAGCCTAAACCACTGGAGCCGAAGACGGTTTGGGTTTCAGGGTTTAGAGCTTGGGGGTCTAGTATACATTGTTGGGGGGTTGAGTCCTACAGTTGAGAACATACATCCTGCACTACCCATAATAAGGAATATACCATAATTCCTTCAGGTAATGCAGGATTTATATCATCAACCTAAACCCACAACCCTAAAGATCCCTTGAAGGAACCCCTTAAAGGTACCCCTATAGATCCCTTTAAAAGGAGCCCTCGGATTTATATCATCAACCGTAGCGGCTGAGTTTGTGTGTTCTAGACCGCTTGGGATCATCGGCCTCAGAACTGACAGCGCGAAACTGTTGCGGTTACTGAACTCGGTGTCTGCGAAGTACCCGACAAGGCCTACTTGTTTGGGGTTCCTTGTTATGGCTTCTTGTAGGTCCTTTCTCAAAGGTAGGTAGTTTGGAGTCCAGGTAAGAATATGCCGTAGAATCGGTTGGGTTTTTTGTCGGCGCAGGTTTTGCGAGTCAGCTGGAGTCTAGTTAGAGTCTGGTTGACGAACTTAGTTCACGACACCGCAATATGCTGAAAGCATCTTATTTACCATAAACCCCTCGTATGATAATCGCAATGCAAGTTCGTGGACAACAACTCGGTCACACGGGCCCAGGTTTCTGCACCGAACGGCACTGACGCCTGATGAGCACGGAGAGGGATAACCAGTTCTACGCTATATAAAGTCTACAAGCCCTGACGTCTTCCCTAAACCCTATAGCCCCTAAACCCTGGAGGTTTAGGTGTTTAGGAGTTAATTATGGGTTTGGGTGCTTTTTCTTTGATTCAGGGGACTATGGGTTTAGGGTCTACTTAGAGGTTTAAGGGATTGTGGGGTTGGGTTTTGGGGTTCGGTACGGTTTAGGCGTCAGGGTCAGGCAGTGGGCTGCATGGGGCTGTACTAGGGTTTGTGCAGTGCGGGTTGTATCGGGCTTTGTCATGGCTTAGAGTTACATAGTTCAGGGTCGAGGTTTGAGTTCGGAGTGTCGGGTTCAGGGTGGAAGATGAGTGGTAGATTTTGAGTACAGGTTGAAGTGATGGACCACACGAAGGAAATCTGGGCTGAAGCTGAAGCTTCAAAGACGCATGAAACCCTAAACCCTTAACCCTGAACCCTATACCGTTACCCTATAAACCCTAAACCCTAAACCCTAGGTCTACTTAACAGTACGTCGCTTCAGGCTCTCAAAGCCGTCAGCGATGCTCTAGGCGAGCCAATGCATAAGAGTTTGGGATATGGGCTTTGAACTTATAGCAACCCTAAACTCTTAACTTGAGTTGAAACTGCTTCAAATGCCTACACATAGTCAACTTCGCAAGGTTGAGACCTTCCCTGATCCCTCTTCGCAACCAAAGCTTTGAGTAAAGCTCTACACCCTAAACCCTGGTCCCCGCGAGCGGCCGTAATCGCCCAGGAATCGGACCAAAACCAGCGGCATCGGCAGCACCATGGACGACATAAACATAGGCGGCGGCACATACATCCTTTGAGTGCAGGCGCGGAGGGTCAGGGTTGGGGAGCAGTGGTCAAGGTTGGGCCAAGGGTGTACGCTGAGTTTAGATTATGGCGTTTACATGGGTTTACCTTTAGGGCAACCAAGGTCCACGTGACTCAAGAAAAGGTAAATGTACCAATTGTTTCAAAGGTTCATTGGTCACTCTTGGCAGGATGGAGAGGGTGTGAGTTCAGGACTTTTGAAGTGCAATTCTTTGCCTTGTCAGCGAAGGCCACCAGGGCTTCATCCCAAAATCTCTGTGTTTTGATATGCCGAAATTGTCGCGAAATAACAATGATGGCAACTTGATTGCAATCCCGGCAACCAAGAGCACCTGCAAAACTCTTGGAGCCTAGATGCGTGAATTTACGCCGAAGCTCTTTCGAACCACACGCTGAGCCTGTCACGTCACACAGGATTCCATTTTTGATTTTCAGGGTTTGGTGTGTGTTTGGGATTTAGGGTTGAAGCTCAGCTTGTAAGCTCCGATACAAAACGTTGTGTCTCGTTTGCACAGATTTTGCGTGTTGCAGGCCTCAGGACTTGTGATGTTTAGGCCCTGCTCCCCTGACCCAGAAGCCAAGATCCTAGAACCTGTAATACAGTAGTTATCTTGACAAAAGTAGTACATGATAGTACTAGCAACAATTACACTGAAGAAGAAACACTGTTTCAATTCCCGACGTCCTCTCGGCCACTGCAAAAGATGTTTATAGCCCTTCAACCTGAACTAGCAACTTGAATACTTGACTCTTGCGTGGGCTTCTACTTAGGGTTTAGATTTTTATTCCCCCCCCCCCCCCCCCCCCCGCCGCTACTTTGGGATTGATGCTGGACCAGGTCCAGAGCCCTAAACTGCTTAGCCTCAACTCTGCCCATAGGCCCCATAGTAGTTTTTTCTTTTTGGGAGTACCTTACAGGATTCTAAATATGAGCCCCAAAAAGGAACTTCTATGGCGCCTGTGGGTAGACTGATCTAGGCCCCTCAGCCTCAGAATCGACGGTTGAATTCTTGGTCTTTCGGTTTGAGGTTGACTTCGAGAACCCCAGGACCCTAAACCCCAGAGCTTCACGTCGTAAGAGAAGGATCCCCCAAGCATCAAAGGCTCCTCCTGTCAGTATCATGGGACTTCGTAGCTAGGGTTTAGGGCATAGGGGAGGGTTAGAAATGTAACTGCAGATATGAACACTTATGAGCCCCAAATTAGGGTACTTATGACCTTACTAAGTCCAAGGATCCTCCAAGTACTGGATCAGGCCCAGAAGCCCCTGCGTCCATGTTGACCAGGATGTGGTCATACACAAGTCCCAAGCCTCTATATACAGCCGCAAGCTTCAGACGCTTAACGTCATTTCTAAATCGCAATGCCTAAGCCTCTGTGTTTCGAACCTCTTCTCCTAAAGCCTCATTAGAAAGTTGTTCTTTAGCATTCTTCGTCGCTAAGAACTAGTGCAACTCCTTGAGTCCACGGTCGCAGGGAATGGTGTATGACAAGCTTGAGGCGCAAGGTCCTCAAAAGCCCAACTTACAACGCGAGCTGGTGTTGAAGGTTTCTCGGATAGTTTTGGGGTGTTTTTGACTTCGGCTCTAAACCCAGTGCCCTAAACCCTTTCTGCTTCAGGAGCGTCGCGCCAAGCGCACAGCCCCTTGGCCTGAAGCTACCGAGAAACAACTGGCTTAGGGTTCGTCAAAGTTGCATACCTGGAGCCTACAGGACCTGGCCTTTTAAAAGGGCTCAGGGTTCGTCAAAGTTGCATACCTGGAGCCTAGAGAACCTAGCCGTTTAAAAGAGCTTAGGGATTAGGGTTCGTCAAAGTTGAATACCTGGCGCCTAAAGAAGCTGGCCGTTTAAAATGGCTCAGGGTTCGTCAAAGTTGCATACCTGGAACCTACAGGACCAAGCCTTGTAAAAGGGCCTAGGGTTCGTCAAAGTTGCATACCTGGAGCCTAAAGAAGCTGGCCTTTCAAAAGGGCTTAGGGTTCGTCAAAGCTGCATACCTGGAACCTACAGGACCTAGCCTTTTAAAAGGGCTTAGGGTTCGTCAAAGTTGCATACCTGGAACCTACAGGACCTAGCCTTTTAAAAGGGCTTAAACTTAGGGTCCGTCAAAGTTGCATACCTGGAGCCCCAAAGAACCTAGCCTTTTAAAAGAGCTTAGGGCTTAGGGTTCGTCAAAGTTGCATACCTGGCGCCTAAAGAAGCTGGCCTTTTAACAGGGCTTAGGGTTCGTCAAAGTTGCATACCTGGGGCCTACGGAACCTAGCCTTTTCAAGGGTGTTGGGTTCGTCAAAGTTGCATACCTGGAGCCTAAAGAACCTAGCCTTTTGGAAGGGCTTATAGGGTTCGTCAAAGTTGCATAACTGGAGCCTAAAGAACCCCGCCTTTAAAAAGGGCTTAGGGTTCGTCAAGGTAGCATACCTGGAGCCTAAAAGGGCTTAGAGTTCGTCAAAGTTGCATACCTGGAGCCTGCGGAACCTAGCCTTTCAAAAGGGCTTAGTAGGGTTCGTCAAAGTTGCATACCTGGAGCCTAAAGAAGCTGGCCTTTCAAAAGGGCTTAGGGTTCGTCAAAGCTGCATACCTGGAACCTACAGGACCTAGCCTTTTAAAAGGGCTTAGGGTTCGTCAAAGTTGCATACCTGGAACCTACAGGACCTAGCCTTTTAAAAGGGCTTAAACTTAGGGTCCGTCAAAGTTGCATACCTGGAGCCCCAAAGAACCTAGCCTTTTAAAAGAGCTTAGGGCTTAGGGTTCGTCAAAGTTGCATACCTGGCGCCTAAAGAAGCTGGCCTTTTAACAGGGCTTAGGGTTCGTCAAAGTTGCATACCTGGGGCCTACGGAACCTAGCCTTTTCAAGGGTGTTGGGTTCGTCAAAGTTGCATACCTGGAGCCTAAAGAACCTAGCCTTTTGGAAGGGCTTATAGGGTTCGTCAAAGTTGCATAACTGGAGCCTAAAGAACCCCGCCTTTAAAAAGGGCTTAGGGTTCGTCAAGGTAGCATACCTGGAGCCTAAAAGGGCTTAGAGTTCGTCAAAGTTGCATACCTGGAGCCTGCGGAACCTAGCCTTTCAAAAGGGCTTAGTAGGGTTCGTCAAAGTTGCATACCTGGAGCGTAAAGAACCTAGCCTTTTGAAAGGGCTTAGGGTTCGTCAAAGTTGCATACCTGGAGCCTAAAGAAACTAGCCGTCTAAAAGAGCTTAGGGCTTAGGGTTTAGGGCTTATAGAGTTTATGCCTTTGAATCCTAAACCCACTTCAACCAAAACCCGGCTGCTTGGATCCCGGAGCGGCTTGGGTTTCTCGGGGTTAAAGGTTAAAGTTGATCTTTTAGTTGTAATGTTCACAATAAAATATTGAAGATGATATTAAGACTATTGGTATATAATGTAAAAATGAAGGTTCTCCGAGTAGGATCTGGATTTGTACTAGGTTCAATCTGTGTTTCAGGCCCATAAACCCGAACCCTAAACCACATTTAGACAGGTTCTTCCTTGATTCGGCTGTTGGCTAAAGGCTTTACGGTGCTCGGGCCGTGGAGTATCTGCAGCCGAAGCACCTTTGAATATAAACCTACGATTACAATATTGTGTTTTCTGTATTTACTTGCATACTTGTTTTTATGAACGCATTCATGTTAGCTTACTGGGAGGATTTAGCGTTTTGTGCACATAAAGCAGACTTGTTCTCCAAATGGGTGGTTGTCAACATTAGGGCCCTTTTTCGGTACCCTAAACAATAGGTGCCGTATTATATTAAGGACCCAGAAAGGGACCCTAATCTTGACAACCACCCAAATGGTTCTGTCTGAAACTTTTTTCTTCTCTCTGAGATATAGGAGTTTCTGAAAATAGGGGACCCTAATATAGTACCCTAAATAGTAGGATCCTTATTATAAGGCCCCCCAAAATAAGGTACCCCTAGTTTTCGGAAACTCTAAACCCTAAACCCTTTATGGAACCCTTATAGATCCCTTTAAGGAACCCTTATATAAAGGACCCCCAAAATAAGGTACCCCTAATTTTTGGAAACTCCCATATAGCAGCTCCAGCCTCGAACCTGTGAATCGTTGATGCATTCCCTGCTGTGCTTACGGTTTAGGGTTGAGGGGTTTAAGGTTTAGGGGTTTAGGGCTGAAGATTTAGGGGGTTTAAGGTTTAGGGGTATAGAATTTAGGGTTTATATATAGGGTTCCCAAATCCGGGGCCTTTCGTTGCCAAGGCCCCTGCAAGAGGTGAGTTCTCGTGCCTGGATGGCCGAGACAAAGGCAACAGCCGTTTCACGAAATGGGTCATAGCCAGGGGATGAATGGGAAGCACCCACCAAGACATGTCTGGGAGGTTCCCGAATGCTATTGGGATCTCCTTGTGGTATCCTCGAACTATCAGAATCCTGCAGGAAAAAGGGTCGAGTCTATACGAGGTGTGCCCTGTTTTCGGAACCTCCGAAAATTTACCCGTAGGACATCTCCCGCGTCGACCCCGTGTTGCAGAGCTGCCTGGAACCACAATGGCCAAGGACACATTAAGTCAAACGCCGAAGCCGTTTCCTACTTTCCTAGTTAAGTCACTCCCAGACACGATGGCACGCAAAGTCGAGTCTTAAGGCTGTAGAAGCTCCAGTCAAGTCCCACATGCATCGTGCATGCTTTTCAAGTTTATTGCCTGCGGAACCTGGCCAGTTTAGGGTTTAGGTTTAGTTTAAATGGTCTCGAGGCCTCTGGAATTGCAGCTGCAGCCCTGCGTGCACTGGATAGAGACGGGGGGATGTCTGAGGCGTTGCACATGCACACTTGCTGCTGACTTCGAGCTTGAATTTGCGCAGAAGGGAGCTGCAAGTGCAGCAACACCTCCTGCCTTGTGGAGCATCGAACCCTAAACCCTAAACTCCTAAACTCTAAACCCTAAACCCCACATTGTCTACTATAGGTTCTCAGACACTGCAGCTCACAGGCGAAGTTCGCCTGACCGCTCCTAGACCTCTGAATCCTAGGCTCCTAGAC